TGGATTGTTAAAGACAGGCTAGCTGCAAATGATTCCTGTTTTGGTTTTGGTCTCCTAATTGTTGAAAACACAAGTAGAGAACAATAGTGTGTTCTAATTCTAAAATGGCTTAATACAACAATGTTCTCTAGTTTGTAAATGAGATAGTAAATCTCATAAAGTTCTGAAGAGCCACAGCTTATCTTTTAATTATCACTAGATACTACCAGTACTTGTAGCAGTGGAGAGGATGAAAATCAATTTTCTTCACATTACAGGTACTTAAGTGGCAATGTAAGAAATCTTGCACAATTTTGATCAAAATCTAGATATTGGAAATGAGAGGATTGTATATTAAGATTATATATTAAAATCTTATATGCTTCTAAATTTCCTTTCTTATCCATTCTACAAAGCCTAATTTAACCTTCCAAATTTCAATATGCAGCTACTTCAACAGCAGTCAAAATTAAAATAAATATGAGATGAGACATCATTGTTTGCTTTCACTGTGACTGATGTGATTTTTCAACTTCAGATAGAAAGAAGTAAATTTTCTGAAGTAAGACAACATTTCTGTGGAAAAAAATGTCACTTAGTTAATACTTTCTCATTGATTTCCCTTGTCTGTGATGATCTGTGGATTTACAATGAGGCATGTTGGCTGCTTTGGATAGGATTACCTCAATCAGATAAACATACAGCTTTTCATTTCAAAAGTATTTCACTTAAATAAAATTGTGATTTAGAAAGAGAATTTCTTCTCCAAGTGATTTCAAATTATGTTTTTTTTTTAATATGAAAGACAGTTCTGGGGGAGACACACTGTTGTTTATATTCTTCTCCATTCCCAGACACTTCTGTACGCTACCTGTCCCTCAGACTTCAATAACTGTGCCTTGTCTTCTCTGTATCTCCTGTTCTCCGTGCTGATCTGTTTCTCTTCTTGCTCTGTCTAGTTTTCTCTCTTGTATATTTTTTGAAGGAAAAAAAATCTCATTTCATGTAAAATTTAAGTTTGCCTAATTGGTAGCTTCCTTGAATGGAGAGCTTGCTGACATACAGACTTCCCCAAACCAGAAATTACAATCAATGACCCAAAGAAAATTTAATTCTGACTGTTCAGAGCCAGAAGCTGCCCCGGGGAATTCGCAAAATCTGTTTGTGTTGTGCAAACACTGAGCCGGGAAGGCGCTCCTTCTGCAGTTATGCAAGGAGAAATCGGTATGGATCATTCACCTATATTCACAAAGGCAGACCTTTGTGAATCTGAGGAGAGAAAGATTTGATGTGCTTCTGTTTTGCATGATATTGTGTAGATCTATTTGTAGAAGGCAATTTTCCTCTCATGGCTGTTTATCAGCAGTTAGGGCTAAAAGAAAAGTGTGGTCTGTTGAACTAATGATGCGTCATGAGTGTCATATGGCATTAGTTGATATTACACAGTGAAGAGGCTTAATATGCCTAGGTTCTCTGCAATTGCTATTATCAGCATCTAGATTCATGGTACTCTAACACAGAAAGGCATAAGCATGTTAAGACTGAGAAGTCTACCTCTGATAAGCCATAATTCTGGACATGAATGGAAAATGAGGAAATGATTTGTTTTCCTAAAACCTTCTAAACAATGGAAGTTATTTTAATAGGCCTAGACTTGCTTGGCTTACTGGTATTACGCAGTTATGATTTTGATATATTTGTTGGTATATTTGTTGAATTTTATAGATTCAATAAAATTAGTGCTATTTACCCTATTCTTCAGGTGCAGGGAGGTTTCTCAGGTGAATGGCAACAACCAAGAAGAAAGCAGTCCAAAAAGAAAGTAACGGTTGTTTACAGCTCTAATCATTTCATTAGACACCTTTCTCCCCTGGTGCCAACATGGCATTGTACACTGTTTGTTTTGATCCCTAGATTGGGGGTATCCCCTTTGACTCCCTGCCCTTTACGGAGCAGCTGGCTCATGCTGTGCCCTGACTGCCAGCTTAGGTTGCTTCAAGCCCTGTGGTGAGTAACAGGGAGCCCAGCCTGTGGCTGCCCAGGGCCTTCCCCCTATAAACCTCCCTCTGAGCTCTGGCCTCCCACAGCCCTGGCCCCCTGCTTGAGCTTCTTGTGGGACCTTCCACCGCTTTTCCCCAGCACTAGTCTGGTGGTGATGGTGTGTGTGTGTCTCCAGGGGCAGCCTTGACCCTTCCCAGCCCCTCATGGCCAGGATGGTGACACCTCCTCCAGAGCTCTCCTGTAATTTCGCTTTCCTCATCTGCTGTACCTGAATCCACAACCCACACCCACCAAACTAGCCCACTGTTACCCTGCAGCAACAGAACTACTTCACTTCCAATCCTAGGTAGGACGTGTGGGGATGAACTTGCTAAGGAGGAGAGACTTGCCAGCACCCTGGAGGCACTGATAAGCCTTAATCACCCTGACCAGCCCCACCTGGGCCCAGGGCCCAACTGAAATGGGGCTTCTGGGGGTTCAGCTCCTGTTTAGGTGAAGTCAGAGGTGTGTTGCTCTCTAGCTCAGCTCTTGTGCTTGGCCACTGTCTTTCTGGCTTGACCATGGTCCTGCCTCATCACCATGACCTAGTCTGAGGATCTGGGTTCCTGTCTGTGATGGCTGGGCCTGCCCAGTTTGCCTTGTGGGGTCCTGAAGAAGTGGCTCCTAGCTGATGGGGCCCCTGCTCTGCTGGGAGTGTTACTGCTATGCATGGCTCCTTGTGCCTTAGGAAGCAGCAGCTGGCACTTGCTGCTCCCTAAACATTTGAAAGTACATTGCTTCAATCTCTTTTTGGTTCGCTCTTTTTGAATTTGGAGTGTGTTCAGTTTAGATAAATGGTAACTTCTCAAAATTCAGAAAGCCTTTATTTCCTTGCCTTGTGTTCAGCAGAGAAGGCCTTTTCCACAGGGAAGGCTTTCTCACTGGGTTTTGTTCTAAGCATTACGTTGCCTTTCTCAGGTATTTTTCTAACATACCCAAGTTTAGGAATCACTCCCCAGTGGAACTTGATTCAGCTCTACTAGTTTAGAAATAAAAATCCTCAATATACTTTGGAGAAGTTAATAACCTCTAATGGGAAATATTTAGTGTGGCTGTCATTTCTGCTACATTTCTGTTACTGAGTTTGGTGTTCACACTTTTTGTAGCACTTTTATCAGTGAATCTAGAAGCCTTTTGAAAGCTGGCTGAATGGTGATTTGTTCCTTTTTGCACCTGAAAATCGTTTGTTTTCTTTCTCTTTGCAATCCATTTGGGGGTTTGCACCCTCTCTCTCCTCATATACAAGCACAGACTGTGTACTTTAATTTTGCTTGACAGATGTACTCAAAATCTGAGAGTCCTGCAATGCACTAGCTTGGGTGCCTTTTCATTGTGTCCCTGGAAATGGGAAGGCAAGACAAAGAGTGGCAGTGGGCAGCATCAGGCCCATTTGCTTGGCTGGTCTTGCAACACTGTGCTATTGGAGGTGATGGATTTTGGAGAGAGGTGAAAGAAAAGATGTCAGGGATCCAACCAGTTTCCCAGTCAGGGAGCAAGGCATGACAAGGAGGTACACCGCTGGGCAAGGCTCAAGACAGTAGGGGAGCACGAAGAGTTGCAGCAAGGTACGGAAAAGCTGGCTTTTTCAGAGGTTCAGGAATTGGAAAGCTGGATGTCACTGTCATCACATCACCAGTCACTGCGTTGACCAGAGGGAAATATCTACCAACACTAGAAATACAAGTGAGAACTGCATTTGAACTCTAAATACTCTGTATTTGGCAAAGCGATAAGGGTTTTAAATAGAAGTCTTAATTGCTAATTTACTTGTAATTATGTTATTTTCCCTGAAGTAGTTGCAGAGCGAATATTTATTTTTTTTATTTTCTTATTAAAAGGTATATGAATTGAAATGATTTGTTCCCAAATCATGTTTTCTATAGTACTGATGATGTTTTGATTTCCCTTTTCAGGTCCTGTCTCTCATTGAAATACTCTGGCCATGTGTGCTTTTCTTGATTCTGGCTGCAATCCGCTTCCAAGAGCCTCCAAATTACAAGGAAAACTGTATGTTTTGTTTCACCTGTGTTCTATTCTGGTTGCCTCTGCTTGAGAAGTGTTTAGGAAATATTGCATTTATCCTAGAAGGGTGAACTGAAATGTAGTGGAGTCAATGGAAAGAATCCTACAGTAGGCTTCAGTTGTGTCTAACTGTGGATCTAACCAAGTTATATTTAGGCGGGTAAGAGATAGTCTGATTTAGATTTGAGACATCTACTTTGGAGTAAAGTGGATTATTTAAGTTTCAGTTGTACTTATTTCCTTCTATTAAGTAATGAAGTATAGGTGACTGGCTCAGAGGCAGGTAATTCTACAGTAGATATTAAGTTAAGCAATATGAATCTTACCCCTACTCATTTAATGGGATTTAGAATGAATATAGCTGAATACCAGTTCCTTTACCTCATGAAAGCCTGGGAAAAAAGAGGAAATACTAGTTAGTGAAGAAGTCTGTATCCTAATCTAGGTCACAAGTAATTTTTGGAAGAGAGGCTATCAGCATATGATGTTGCAGTGGTGTTACTACTGTGAAAATCAGCTTTTCAATGACTTCTCTCAAATGTTATACCTTGTTGCCACAGTCTGACACAGAAGTTATTAATTTTCTGTGATGAATTAGTTGTTCTTAAATGGAATAAAATTCTTCACTGTGAGGGGGGTGAGGCACTGGAACAGGTCTCCCAGAGAAGCTGTGGCTGCCCCATCCCTGGCAGGGTTCAAGGCTAGGTTGGATGGGGCTTTGGGCAACCTGATCTAGTGGAAGGTGTCCCTGCCCATGGCAGGGGGGTTGGAGCTAGATGACTAAGGTTGCTTCCAACCCAGACAAGTCTATGGTTCTATGGCACCTGCCATCGATACAACTACATTGTTGGCAGGTGACAAAGCTGCTTTCTAGGAGAAGAGAACACAATGTGATGGTACAGGTTTGTAACTGCAATGTCACTGGTTTTAATTCTGCTGCTACTCGGTTTTAGGTTACTTGGAAGCTCGGGATTTACCAAGCGGGGGCCTTTATCCTTTCATACGGACTCTTTTCTGTAATGTTGGTTCAAAATGCAAAAATACTAGCTATGCAACACAGGAAAACAACCGCTTACGGTAAGTTGCATGAATTTGACAGAGCTGTCAGTATCAAAGTGCATCTTTTTCTACAGCAAAGGTTCTTATTGTCTTGTAGACAGGTAGAATAGGAGCTTTGTTATTCTTTGCTAAAGTTTCCTTCAGTATCCTTATGAATGCAGAAGATGTAGGGCCTTAGTCATGACTCCTCGTAATTTTTGCTTGCCATTCTTAGGCATTTCATGCTGTTATTAGATACTGAAAACTCTTTGGGGGAAAAAATGGGGAGGTACCTTGTGATATTCTTGCCTTTCACTTCTGCCATGTGAAAACATGATTTTGTCTTTCACTAGAAAGTCTTTTTATTACATGAGGGTAAAATTGAGCAACAGAAAATATATAATAAATGGATTTAAACTTTGAATAATTTGGGAGCATACATGGGGGGAGAAGTAAACATAGAAAAACAGCACAAGAATAGCTCTTGAGTAAGCTCCACAAAGAACCAAAAAGGAGTAGCAGAAGATCTGTAATAAAAAGAACTTGAAAAAGTAGTCTGTAAGAAGGCGCTGTTACAGAAGCCCAGACTGCAGAGAGAATAAAGATCAATTTGGGCTTTTTCATAAGAAATGTAGCATTTTCATCTATTTAAAAATGTTGAGAAGAGTGGAGATGCAAAGATATTTATGTAAATTGTCTGAAGGACATAGTCTTAAATAAATATATTGCAAAGCTCAAATTAAGATGAGCTAACCAGAATATATGTGTATATATATATGAATGCTTCTTCTTAGAAAATTGTAAATATCTATGAAAAAAGATCTTGGTTTGAGTCAAGTAAGTGTGTAAAAGCACCAAATTTATGGTTTATTATTGCAAAGGTTTATAGGTAGTAATAAATTCAGCCTGTATCAAGTTGAAAAGCTTCAGTATCACAGTAACAGGTCATAATACTTGCTGTTTGATCTAGACAGTGTGTTCTAGTTATTTGTACACTTAGAGAGGTCTTGATAGAGCATAAGATCATGCTGGGCAAACACGTTCCACATGAAGTATTAATTTGTTAGTAGAATTGAAATCTTAACAGTTTAAGTCACAAATCTTTCTTAGTCCAGGTCTATTGTTACACAAAATGCTTCTATACAGAAATAACAGTATTACAGTCATAGAATCATAGAATAGTTAGGGTTGGAAAGAACCTTAAGATCATCTAGTTCCAACCCTCCTGACATGGGCAGGGACACCTCACACTAAACCATGTTGACCAAAGGCTCTGTCAAACCTGGCCTTGAGAACTGCCAGGGATGGAGCATTCACAACCACCTTGGGCAACCCATTCCAGTGCCTCACCACCCTAACAGTAAAGAATTTCTTCCTTATATCCAATCTAAACTTCCCCTGTTTAAGTTTTAACCTGTTACCCCTTGTCCTATCACTACAGTCCCTAATGAAGAGTCCCTCCCCAGCATCCCTATAGGCCCCCTTCAGATACTGGAAGGCTGCTATGAGGTCTCCACGCAGCCTTCTCTTCTCCACGCTGAACAGCCCCAACTTCCTCAGCCTATCTTCATACAGGAGGTGCTCCAGTCCCCTGATCATCCTCGTGGCCCTCCTTTGGACTTGTTCCAACAATTTTATGTCCTTTTTATGTTGAGGACACCAGAACTGCACGCAGTACTCCAGGTGAGGTCTCACGAGAGCAGAGTAGAGGGGCAGGATCACCTCCTTTGACCTGCTGATCATGCTCCTTTTGATGCAGCCCTAAACAATAATTCTCCTAGTAAAAAATAATATAGTTAAAGTTGTTATACAGCCACTTAATTTCTCCTCCTTTCTCTGTGGTTATGCTCACCTTTCCTCTGCTGCTCTGGGTCATAGAGTCAGTAGCTGCTGCTGCTGGTGAGGTTGTTATGGCAAATCATGATCTGGAGCCCTTTACCTGGAGGAATGTGGTGGTGTTGGCTTCTTTTCCACTCTAAAGTGCACTTGGGGTCACTTATGTTTGCTAATGTGCTTTTTACCCTTCTTGTTCCCCATTGGTTTGTATCTGGTATATCTGAATTTATGTGGTACATCTGAATGTATGTGGTATCTTTCACATATGTTAGATACCTGTTCTTTTTTCCTGATACTTATAAATTGGCTTTGTCTGACTATAGCTCTGCATTTTAACTGGTCAGTTTTGAGTTGTTTATAGCCATAGGTTCCTAAGTACCAGCCTGTGCCTCATCCCTTATCATCTTGTATTTCAGTAAAGTACATCTTGTGTCCCCACTTCTCAAGGTCTTTACTGTTATACTGGGCCTGTGTTCCTCTGCACTGCTTTGCTATGTTAATCATAAATATCTCACTTTGCTCTGGATGAACACTTGTTAATCCATATAAACATATGATGGTGTTATACAGTGACAGTGAAAGTAAAGCAAAGAGCCATCTGGCCAGAAAAAAAGTTAAAACTAAACCAAGGCAAAACAGAACTCCAGGTACATTAAGACAAGTTCAGAAGTTCAGACAAAGCAAAGGTGGCAAGCTTCTGTGCCATGGTCTTGCACTCAGTACAAAGGCTGTAGCCTGTCACTTGCAGTAGCAATACTGTATTACTGGGTTATAGAATTACAATAGCTGTTGATCTTTTTACAGACTGTTTCCTAAAAGGATAGTTTTTATTTACATCACTAGCCCAATTGCCATCTAAGTGTGTTAAACCTCTAGAAACTATGAACTATGTTGACTGCTCTGCATGATTATTTACACTGCTTTGACTGAACTGCCCAAATCATTTTTCAGCTCAAAAGAAAAGCAGGAAAGAATTTCCAGGAGGCAGTCTTAGACCAGCTTAAGAATTAGGGAAGTTTTTCAATGGCTCTAATTTTTTCAACTGAAAAATAAAATGCATGTATGTATGCATATTTGTACGCTCAATAACTCAATAACTGAGTAGTATATAGTTCAGGTAAGAAAAAGGGATAAAAAGGTAGGATGAAACTCATTCTAAGGTCAGTCTATTCTAGCAGGTCCATCAATATAAATTAAATCAACTTCAGGGTTGCTCTGACTTATGCTGGCTGCCAACAGCCTTAGGACTACAGGCTGTCAGCTTGATCAGCCAAGCATAACCGAATCCTGCAATGTCCCTGTGTTGACTAGAAAGAAGGGGTGGCACAGGAACAGTAGTACCAATTATTTCCTTTTGAGGATGTATATCAAATCATAGGTGGTTCTTTATAGTAATTTTCAGGGACATTTTTGCATTAACAATGTTGTGTTTATTAATGGTAAATCAGAGACTTTGCATAGTTTGCATGGACACTTAGCCCATTTGTTTTCATAGTATGTGCCGTATTGTTGCTCTCAGTTTGAAATACAGTTGTCTTTTGTAAAAAAACCTCATCCTTCTGTGTAGGGGCTGTCACTGGAGCCTGTGACCCACCCCTGGGTCTGTCTGCTGGCTAGGATGCTGAGGGACAGTGCCCATTAGTGAGGGCATGGCCTCCTCCAGGGTGGACTCGGCTCCTAGCTTAGTCCCTGCTCCTGGATCAGCCCCACTCATGCTGGTTCCTTTCTTGTTACTAGTTTTGTTGATACTTGGGCCTCCTCTAGTGGAGTAGTATCAGAAAAGCTCATGTACAAGAGCAGGTGTGGAAAAACAAAATCAAGGAAAGTCTGAGCAGCTGTGATATGCACTTGCATGAGAATTGATTAGTGGGCCATTTTTTTCTATAATGATGTGTATCTTCAAATTAAAAAAGTAATAATTCTGCAAGATAGCTGCATTTCTACAGCAACTTACTGAACAGTAACCCTGTGTGGTCTGGGCCAAGTTTTGTAGTCTTGTGCTGTGTAGTTGGAAAACAGAAACCTGAGCAATTTTTGTGATCTTGCTTATAGATTGCTAGAGAGCTGGGGAGAAAAGGAATTTTAAACATGAGTTTTCTCCATTTGATAGCCAGTAAGGAACAATGCTTTTATGGTTCTTTATATTTTTGTGGTTCCTTGCATTTTACAAGGGTTATAACAGTATGTACCCAAGGAGGAGAAAGATCTTTCTGGGACAAACACACAGTAAGCTGTTGTCCAGCATGTTTATTGGTGTTGAAGATGTCATGTCTCCAAGGCTGTCCTGAGATGCTGCAGAATGGGAGCCAGAGCAGCTGGGGCTTGGAGATTTTAGAGACTAATTTTTAATGTGATGACAGGGGTGAGGTTGAGAGAAGAGTTTGCTGAGGGGCTTTTGAAAATCACCAGTTTAAATGGCATTGCACATCAGAGCTGAGATATCAGATCAACTCTGAAATGTTCTTATTGTCATCCTGAGTTACTGAGTAATTTGGACAGAGTTATCGTTTCTGAGTCATGACTTTAGGAAATGATGGTTGCTTTTACATGCTCAGAGCGATGCAGTCTTTTTGCCGTTTAACAGTGTTTTGTTATAGTCAGAACTTGTATGAATATATGTCTTCAGTTTAATTTCTGCCCTCATGAAAGCACTTCTGGAAATGCACAATTAAGGGAAGAGTTACCATGGACGATAATGATATCATTTACATATGCACATATACACACATGCACACATACTTTCTCCTAACACCCCAATTCTAATTAAGTACATAGTCTCTTACAAATTGCTGGCTACCTCCTTTTGTCCTTTTTGTCATCCTTTGCTTATCCTTTTTATTGTTCCTAGCAACTGCTGCTGTTGACTTCCTTTACACATTCACAACATCTTCTGTTCCAGAAAGCATACTTTGAAGGCTCTTTGGGAGAGTAACAGTGCAACAATTAAGTTTTTCAGCACACTATCTGAAAATTGCTTGTCTTGAGTGTTGCCACGTCTGGTTTTGAAGTCTAGATTCTTACCTCTTTGGCAAAATAATGACATCTTCCTGCAATTTTGTGCAGTTTGTTCTGAGTTAAGAAACTAGTTGTATCTTATGACATTGTTATTAAGAGATAACTGTGTTTCCCTATTACCGTGTTGAAAAGATATAAAATCCTTTCAAATTTAGCATGGATATTCAGCAGATAGAAGCTCTGAAATATTTTCATCTGTTTCACAAAACAGCCTGATAACTAATCTGCCTGTCGCTATTTCCTCTACCAAAGGAAGTTGCGCTCAGCTCCATGAGTAACCAGTCTGTGGCAATGATGGCAAAAAAAGGGGCACAGTGGCAGCTGGCTGACATCGCTTCTGCCCTGGAAATCCCCATAAAGCTAATGGTTCAGAAACAGCATGTCGGAATGGCTGCTCTCATCCTTGTGCTTGGGAGTTTCACCATCAACTTGCTTTTCCCTGCACTTCTCCATGGAGTGATTCAGAGCCACCGTGCTCCAAGTGCTGCCAGCTTTTTTCTTTAATGTTTCTAGTCTGTGTACCTTTCCCAGTTGTGTTCCCCCCTCATGTTCTCTGTGGAACCCCTTGCAGGACCGTGGCTTGTCTTCTAGCCTTCAAGCCTGGAGACACCTCACACAGCACTTAAGGCAGCATGACCTGGAAGCCTTTTGCCGGTCATCTTAGTTCAAAGGAAACTTTATAGCTATCAATAAAATATCTGTGGAAACTGAGCCAGAATACTATTATTTTACAGTTCTGACTGGATTTGTGTCTTAACCAATGTGATGTTTGTTATTCTGGCCAAGTGCTGGCTGTTTGTTCATGCTTAAAAAGCACAGTGCTTGAAAGTTTTCAGTATGCAGTTATTATTCATGTTCTTTGCCAAATACCAGTGTTTCTAGCTGTCTGGAATTTCAGGCAGTAAATTTGGAACTTATATGGAAGTTTTCAAAAGCAATAGGTAAAACTGCAGCTATTAATCACCCTAAAAGCCTCCCTCTGAACAACAGAAGCCTGATTTTTGAAACTCCATTAAAATAAAAAATAGTGAGGAATTGTTCTGCCTTTAATCCATTGAAGATTGAGGTTGTTGAAAGAGTTTTCCAAAATCCTACTGGCTGGTGACCAAGTTGGGATCAAAATAAGCTGCACTGAAACAATCAAGAAATTGATTAACATTAGAATTTCTCCTCATCCCCTAGTCTAAAGTTACAGACAGGCCTGTGAGTGTCTGAACAAACAAGGATCAGGGAGGGAGAGATAGAGAAATGAGAGAACCTGAAAGCAGTGGCTGATGTTTTTGCTTTGATTTATTGTTTGCTTCATATCATTTATCTAACTAGGTTTTCCTTTACCAATAAGTAAGTACTGTTCTGAAAACAAGTCAAACTACAAGTTTGACAAGAAAGAAATGTAAATCTTTAGTATGCTTTTGTAAGCGGGGCTTATGTGACAGTTAATGGTGCTTCTAATGAAAAATAACTGTATTTTTGCTACCTAGGATTTCACTCTAAGATCATTTGAACTTACTATAAGATAAAACAGAATTCAATTGCTGTCCTGGGTTCAGCAGTAGCAGTCAATTTTCTCCTTCTTAGTAGTTGGTGCAGCATTTTGTTTTGACTTTTGGCCTAGGAACAGAGCAGATAACGCTGATGTTTTAGTCTGACCAAGGACTTTGTGAGCCTCATGCTCTGCCAGGGAGGAGGGAAAGCTGGGAGGAAGCAGAGACAGGACACCTGACCTAAACTGACCAAAGAGATATTCCATACCACAGCACGTCATGCCCAGGATGTAACTGGGAGTTACCTGGAAGGGTTAGGACTGCAGGGCTAGAGGAGGTATGGGTTGGTGCTTCGTCAGGCTGGCGGGGGGTGGGAGGGGGGGAGTTATCAGTTGGCTGGTGGTGAGGTGTTGTGTTCTCTTCCCTTGTTATTTCCTTTATCATTATTATTATCGGTGGTAGCAGTAGTGATCTGTGTTATACCTTAGTTACTAAACTGTTTTTATCTCAACCCAGGGGAGTAGCATTCTTTTCGATTCTCCTCTCCGTCCCTCTGGGAGTAGGGGGAGGGAAAGAAGGGGGGGAGTGAATGAACGAGCTGCCTGACTGGTTTTAAACCACGACAATTGCCTAGTAACATGCTAAAAGTGTTTATGGTGTCTCAGGAGGGTCTAAGTATTTTGTCCTGTAAAGAGATATTTAACTGATTTCACCTTGATGGAAAACTGTTGTGCTACTGAGTAGCCACCAGATGGTAGTATGATAGAGATAGTAACGTATACCACGAGTTTAGCTGTTAGAATCGGGGGAAAGTCAGTAGTGAGAATATGATCTGTTTATAGGCTGTTGCATGTGTTTTGAAAAAAAATAGGCTGTCATATCCCAAATACAAACTATAGGTTTTCCTAGTGACCAACACTTTGTCTGTGAGTCAGCATGAGGCAGAAATATGTAGCCAGACAGTCCACTTTTCTAACTTTTCAAGTAGCAGGGTATCTTGAGGAGCATGTCATCTGGAATCAGTGTATGTTTGTTAGTGTGGATGCTTTTTTATTAAGGTGGTAGAGTTGTTATCACAGTTCTTTTGCTTAGTAAACTGACTAAAGAGCAAGCACCAACTTTCTTCAGGGCCCAGAAAGAGGAATTTACCTATATTTCATCTAGTGACATTGACCAACTTACCTGTTCTGGTTGCTTAGATGTGCATGTGTTTAGAGACATAAAAGACATTTTTGGACGTGTCTGTCCTTGGCTGCTGCCAGAATTGGGTTCCTGGTGCAGTTGAGCCGCTCCAGCTCAGCAATTTTTCATTGCTCTCTTTCCTGAGGTTCTGAGGCTCAGTGTTGCAGATTGCACATTAATGAACTGAACTAAGTAAAGGTTGTGTAAATGCACAATAGTTAAAAAAAAATAAATAAAAAAATTAAAATATCACAATACTACTGTGAGCTTATACACAGCTCTTTACTTCCAGTTTGTAATTACCTCCCCTGCCCTGTTTCCTTTTGTGAAAAGTACTGCAGGCATCCAGACGGGTCCAGAGAGATTCACAGGACCTGATCTAGACATCATGAAAGAGATAGAGGAACTTGCAGAGGGATTTATTGAGACCACAGAGAAAGCCATGGCTTTAGAAAAGCTATGGGAAGAAAATTCAAAGTTCTCAGGTAAGCTGTGATCTTTCTAATAGTGAATTTCTTTGTCTACCAGGTAATGACAACCAGCAAATAAAGTAATATTCTTAGATTAAAAATAAAATGTAAAAACTAAATTTTTAGCCCATCTGAAAGAATGGAAAGAAGGGCTTTTATGATTACTATTACTGTGGCCATCCTAAAATTATCAGAAGAAAAAAGCTCATTTTCTAAAACTATACACTTGCTTTGCTACTTGATAGTTAACAAAATACTATGAAGGGAAAGATTTAAAGGTAAGGATTAATAACCTGAGTACATAGTTACTTGGTATAAGATACATTCCAAAGTAACTTATCAGTAGTTAAGTTCTTCTTCCCAGGTTTTTCTATTGCACTAGAGAGTGTAGGGGTGGGAAAACCTCAGTAGCTCACTACTAGGCAAACAATTCAGTCTCACACTAAAAGAGACTGGAAACACCAAGGTCTGATGCTGCTGCTGTGTTCCCACCCATGCTGTGCAGTCTTGCTGCTGTAGCAGGTGGGCATTTAAGACCTGCTACTATCCTGCCATTCTGGATGAGTTTTCAAGCAGAAAGATTTAGGCAAAAGTAATTTTCATGCCTGGCTGTCTGGGAGCTCGTGCGTTCATCTAGTGTGGATATGATGATTTTGCTTTACTGAGAAGTGAATGATTAGCAGTTTCTTTTAAATTGGGGTTTGATTTTTTTCTTTTCCTTCTGATAATAGTAAAGTATTGGAAAACATAGAAAATCAGATGGATTGCTGTCTTTGTAGGGTATTATTGTTTCACATGCCTTTAGTCCTGTAGAAATGCCCTTTGTGCACTACTTGCTATTGCTTATAAAACTGATTCTCTTGAAGTTAATAAGGCTTCTGTGTAAAGGAAAATATTTGATTTTACAGGGCTCTGTAACATCACCACCTTTCTTAATGTAAGTATTTTTATAGTCTGTTTCTAAATTACCGTTCTGGATTTTGAGGCATCTTTATTATAATGGTTAGAGATTTGTATCCTGTCAAGTTTTAGTAAACTATCTTAAGAAGAAAATTGGTATGCTGTTGAAAGAAAAAATGATGGCTTGTAAATTTGACAGAGGTTCAGTGATTTCTACATTACTGATTTAAACCAGTCTAGGTTGTTAGTTGCTAAAATCCTCAGCTGTTTGAAGGCTAGTCATTCATTAGGAGCAATTTAAAAGCGCATCTGCCAGACCCCATGTAGCTATATAACATATTACAAAATGTCTTGCAAGGAACTCTTATCCTAGTGTCTACTTATTATTAATCATCTTCCCTCAGCAGCCCAGCACTTAAAAAAGGACAGTGAGACTGAAAAGGTGAGGCTTTTGCTTGGATGAGATTAGTTTGAATTCAGATTTCTGATCTAGTAAATATGGAAAGCAGGCTCAATTGGGGGTGAAGGAAGACAGAATTGCAAGATATGGTGTAACTATCCTCAGAATCTCTTTGGCAGTTTGTGAAATGAATTTAGTCTTTGTGCTGTCCCTAATGCATTAGTCTTTCACTCTTGCATTCTCAACGAAAGAGGAAGGCTGAATGGGCACAGTAGTAGATCACCATTACTATAATTTTTGTACCTTTCACAGATCACTGGCTTCAGTTTAAAAATATTTTAAAATTAATTTTCTCTATATTCGATGGTAACGGCTACTTCATGAAACCTAGATTTCCAATCTGTAACTTGAAATTAGATGGCATTTTTATAGTAACATTTTCAAACTGCTCATGAGATGATTGAAAGGAGCTGTATCAGTATAAATTTAATATCAGGAATGGAACATAGAATAGAAAGAATGTATTAACATTAGGAAAATATTTAGATGAATGTAGTTTATCATTATTAGTAACAGAGCTTGTATACATAAGCCTCCTTTTGTGTAAACACTGCTCATGTTATCATATTCCAAAAGTGCCCTAGTGAAACATTAATTTAGGGAAACAAACACTGAATAAAACCCAAATGTGATAGATGCTATGTTTTGCATAGGCATCTGATAGTGTAGTCCTATAAAAGAGGTAATTTTACCCCAGTCAGTTCATATTTAAAGAGCCATTTTTATCAATTATTTCACACCCACTGCAAGGAACTTTGAGGCAAATATGGCATGTTCCTGGCAGTCCCCTGCTCTTTAGACTTAGAAATTCATTTCAGGGCCAAAGAACTCCTTTGTGCTTGAGATCTCTTTGGGAAAGTTAATGCTTCTGAGCAAGAAGAGATTGCTCAGCTTTTCTCCCAGTTCCGTTTTCCATCAGAGCAGAAAAAGACATCTGAAACAAAGCTGACATAAGTTCAAAGTACCACCAAAATGATGTGGCAAATTACCAAAGCTAGAGGTATATTTCCACTTGAAAAAAAAAAAATTAAATAGTTTAAAATTTAGGAGGGTAAGAGCAGGGGTAGGGAGAGTAACAGGCACCTGCTTTTTTTTGTTTGTTTCTTTTCTGTTAATGGAAGAGTTCCATGTAAATGTGTTTTCTTCACATAAAGATGGATTTGAATGAAGCAGAGGAGATGATTTCTAGAGCAGAAAACCTGTACAAGCAACCATACTTCTGGAACTTTTTGCATTCGCTCCCTCACCTTGAATTGAGCAGCTTTTATACAGAAGATGAGGTAGCTGCTGTAACACAGTTTCTAGAAGCTATTCAAAAGTAAGTACTTTTGCATTCTTGAAAGCACTTTGTTTTAAGGTTTTACATGCAATTCTTGTTCTTCTCCTGCCTATTTAATAAAATAAGCATTCTTATTGGTGTGAAGAGGGTGAATTTTTCTTCTGTTTACCAGATTCTGCTTTTGTAGAAGTGTGGTAAGAGGTTTTGCCCATTTTAATTCCTTTATAAGTATACTTTTTTTGTCTCTCAAACTCAGCAGAGATTCTCTGGGAGTCTTCAAGAAGTATCTTCATGTTAGCAATGACTGAAATTAGCCCATCACATAATATGACTTTAAAAATTGTAATGTGCTTTGGGAGTCTTTGAAAGACAGAATATTTACATAAGAATATAATAAAATAATATTTTGGATTCTTATTAACTTAATGTGTATGTATCACTTTGTCAATATCAGGAAAATGTCTCCGTTTCGTTTCTCAAGCCTCTTGCTATCCAAGTAGCTTTGGCTGTTCTCTTTCAAGAAATGAAGCAGTAAGAAAAAACCCACAGAGACTATTCTGAATGTGAAGGTTTTCTGCCTCAGGTACAGGACAGTTGGATCCAGAGGAAGGCATGACGTCAAAATCACAGACTGACAAGTATCTACAGGAATTTTCAGTAAAATAATGGAATTATTAATTAGGAAAAAGTCAGGAATGTATTTGTTGGTAGCTGGTTGTAATCAGTTGATAGTAAATTGTTGTAGTCAATCAACACATTTATAAGGTTAGAGAAGGCCACTGAACCTGGTTGCCTGTGCAAAACTGCACCAACTTCACCAGCCTTACTGCATAGGGAGGCAGGGGCCCAAAGACTTTGAATGGGGAATTACTGTGCTGATTCTGTCACCCTTTAGCATCCCACTGCCTTTTTCCTAATAAAAAAAGATATAAGGATATGATGGCATATTTTTTTTTGAAATTGGGAAATAAATCTCTTACAATATGTGGGCTGCAACCTTGTCGGGGCTTAATTCCCCTGGCCCATGCATGAGACATGTGTAACCTTATTCCAGCTTGTTCTCTGAACTATGAGCATGCAAGGATGTATTAGCTGTGCTTGTGGTGCTTATATCCCAAAAGCAGAAGTCTTTTCTGAAAGGGTCTGTGTGTTCCTGAGGTAAAAGTGGAACTTGATCATAAGTTCATGATTATTGCTTTATTCTTCAGCAGCAGTAAGCAAAGATAGCAGTAACTACTGGCTGCTGTGCTTGGTCAAGTTACTAATCTGTTAATATACTCTCAGCAGTGATTACTCTGAGTTTATAGGCATAGATGGAGTGAGAAAGGGACAAAACTGGAGAATGTTTGTGGTTGTGTGGTTTGTCTTCCCATGCAACTATTTTGCATGCTGAGACCCTGCTTTCCAGGAAGTGGCTGGGTATCTGCGTGTTGAGGGGAAGTAGTAAATAAAGTCCTTGTTTTGCTTTGCTTGCATGCACAACATTTTCTTTACCTATTAAACTGTCTTTCTGTTGATCTATGAGTTTTCTCACCTCTGTTTTATTTTCTTCCTGCCCTGTGGGAGAAGAGAGTGAATGAGCAGCTGCATAGGTGCTTGGCTGACAGCTTGTGTCAACCCACAAGTGATTAGTAAAAGGAGACTTGGGGTTTGGTTTTTTTAAGACTTTGGTGTCCTTCAGTGACCAAATTTGTCATAATTAATGCAATTTGGAAAGACAGCCACAAAATCCATTGTTTACTCTTGACTAGCTTTGTAGTACTAACATACATTGAGGTCCTGTCTTGGGCAGAATTTAGGCAGCAAAAAGGTTCCTAAATTTACTTCTCCCACTTCCTGGACTGTATTGTGTTTGTTGTGTCTCCCAGAGGCACTTAATAGAAACTTTTCACGCCCACTTGGTGAGGTTAAATAGTGCTTTTCTTCTCTTCTTCTCACATATGTTGGAAACTGCTGATCCACTCTAACAAAACTGGATTATTTGCATAGTGATAAAGGAATATTCTATAGGAAATCACTGGTAAATTAACATAAACCTTTAACAGCAAATTACAGCTACATTAACAAAGAAGTTTGTTTCACAGCTAGTGTGACTGAGACTTCTAAGAAATTCAATATAATTTTATCAATGCATTCTGTAATACGCTTTGTTTAATTTGAGAGAAAGTGTTCTGTTGCTTTAAAGTTTCATTTTTTCTCTGCAGATTCTGTAGAAATAAAATGTATGCTTTTTGTGTCCATCCTGCCTTGTAGTGGGGATAATGGTTGTAGTTTTGCTCTCATTTTTGCTCGCATTTCTACTCTCATTTTAAACTCTTTTCTTTACTTTTTTTTTTTTTTTCAGATGACATTGGTCTTCTCAGGACACGTTTCTTTATTTTTGTTTAAAATTGAGTTAAACTCTTAACAGTAAAATCTCAATGTATGGGTATTTCTTTTCATGAAAAGTCTAATCTGACATCAGTTTTTGAATGATAAAAAAAGAGTATCTTAATATTCAAATGCTCGAGCATCGTCTTCTTCCTCCAAGCCCTTTCTGGTTTTCTGGTGTAGAGAGATCGTGAGTTTTGCTTTATCTTTCACTTCCAGTATCTTAGCATCATTGAAGGATTTAACTATGATGCCATGGGGCCAAAGTTTCTATGAAATGGTGAAAACAACGTTGAATTTAACTGCTGCAACAGTACAAGATAGGAGCTTAGACGGTAAGTAATTTTGCTTCAGATTTTCATTGAAGTACCTCAAGCATGCTGGGAATACTCAATAGAAGTAACTATCCAAGCTTCTGCTAAATTCTTGAAGTACAAGGTCTAAGAATGAGCTATATTGCTGTAGTGTTAACCCATTTCTTTATTGATTTGTCTTTTAACTACTAAAAACTGAAGTGCATCAAACTCTGGCAACTATTTGCTAAATAAAACACGTTAGTCTCATATATTCGGTTTAGAATGATCTTTCAGTGATGAATTTTGGAAAGTGATGAAATCACTACAGAGGACAATTTCTTCCATTTGATAGGATAGCCTCTTGGTTTGGACATGTGTGTTAAGTATTGTGGTTGTTTTTCTTTAAGCTTCTATTGTTTTCTTCAAGCTTTTCTGTTGCTATAAATCCTGGTCTCACCTGAAGGGCTGTTTATAGGAGATGAGTTTAATTAGAGGAGGTAGGCTGGCCCCAGGACAACTCCTCAAGAAAAGGTCAGGAACAAGTTTTGTTGGCAAACTATCTGGTAACACATGATAAGATTCTACGTGTGGCTGTCTGCTCTGCATGTAAGGTCAGGGTAAGAATTATATGCAGTCTGAATCCCACTTCACCTGACAAAATGAAGACAGGAGTAGTAAAAGGGTGTTTACGTTGGAGACCTTGCACAGAGAATGAACTTGAATTTCTTGGGTCTTCTGGTATTCTTCTGATGTGTGCTCTCAGCAATGATCCGTACCCAGCCCATGCACACACATTTTCATGACTAGGTGCAGAATTAGATGCACAGTTTTGAATGGCACACTGCTTGGTCTGCTGGCAATCACTGTACAGGGGCATCTCACCATTGTCATAGGAACTGTCAGATTAACAGGCCTTGCCATAATACTAATGCACTCATGAATTTTATCCTAGTGAAACTGGTGTTCAGGTACACACCACACTTTTTTTTTTTTTTTTTTTTTGGAAAAGTACATGGTACTTGGATGTCATCAGAAACAACGTGAACAAAAAGCAGGAATGATGCAAGCAGAAGGTTTTCTTTCTTTCAGGTTTTCACTATAATCTTTCTCTCTGGGATGTTTTGTGGAATCCACATGCAGTGAGAACAGAACTTGAATCCAGGTTTGGTTTTGATGATCTTCACATTGAGAAGTTACTAAGTTATACAGCACAATTAAGAAAGGTAAATCACTTGGAAATTTCAGTGTCACTCTTTTTCATCTTTGTTTTTATTTCTACCCTGAAGGGTTTTTTTTCATGCCTTACAGGAGCTATAGTCATATCTTACATTCATGAGGAAGCTATAACTCTCCTAAATATCCTGGGTTCACTCCCACCAAAACAGAAATGTATTTAGCTTAAGCTGAAATTTCTGCACATGAAAATATTGATAGATGTAGTTGTATTCATTAATGAATTTATGCTTCTATGAAGTCATTACTGAACACAGCAAGGTCCTGAGGTTTTTACCTAATCCTGTAGAGAACTCTGGTTTGTTTCACTAAGCTTTTAAACTAATTCCTAGACTTGAAGGTGCCTGGATTAATTTGTCAGGTAGTGTTTTTCATCTGGTTTGCTAGACAAAGAATGCCCGTGTCTTCTGTGTGTAAATTAAGGCACATCAGGAGTCCTTTTTTCTCAGTTGTGCAGTCTTGATATCAGTATACTTGACTGATGAGTCTCTCAGTGGGACTATTCAAACATACCAGTGATCTATCAAATTTTGAAGAAAGCCCTCTCTGAGAAAAGAGACTTTCTGGCCTTCTAGATCAAAGTGACCTGTTGTGATGGCTTGACTGCAAAACACTTGAAATGTTTTTGAATTTCAGCTGAAGTCCACAGTGATTGAACACAACACGTTGGTATTTATCTGAAATCTGTTTGTTCTTTGCCAGTACAGTCTGGAGTTGTACTCCAGAAGAGCTCACTATAAGAATAGCTTATTTACACAAAGGGATGAATTATTAAAAAATCCTTCACTTTTGAATGGCCTTTTAATGAAATATCAGTGTTGGCCAGTTTGATCAGCTGAATGGGTTTTGACTGCAGCCTGGTAGATACGGTTGGCTGTGTAATCCCAGGCAACTCGCTAGCTACTTAAGCTAATATCTTGATTTGTGTGATTGTGTTAGGGCATTGAAGACCTTCAGAAAGTATGAAGGGAAATATAGAAACCTGGAAATATCTGTTCTGAGCACTTTAATTCTGCATCTGAAGCCCCAGGTAGTTTGAGGCCAAAACTTCTGCAAAACTTTTAATAAATTTTCTAGTCACAATCAAGAGGAGTTAGGATGTCAAGTGTTTTAGAAAGGCATTAACAAGAATAATTAAAATGAGCTATATTATTTTTGTATGCTTTAATGACATTTATGTGATTGGGAATAATAAATCTTTCGACACAAAGTCTAGAAGTCAGGCTGTGAGGAAAAAATTCCGGCCTCTTGGCCACATTGCTGAAACCTGCCGACTTCAATTTAAAACTAGTCTGCTGCATGCAGTCATTGGTTCATATGTATCACTGTGCTGAGTGCTTTCCACATCAGTAATTTTAATACTGGTGAAGTTGCTTCAATACAGTTATTGTAGTATAGGGGTACTGTATCATTGTCAAGTTTGTTCAGCGTCAACCTGCAAATGACTATAGAAGTAATGCTGGGGTAGCTACATGGTGAAAATTCCTTGCATATACTAGTCTCATAATTCTGCCAGGTCTACAAGTACCCTAATGTGCCAGTGGTATTTTATACAGCACTCTTCATGTGGAATACTTTGAAGTATGTGCCCTAGAATATGAGGCTGGATTAAGTGGGCTTTGTTCTCACTGAAGGAGGCTATATTCTTTTTGTCACCAGATAAGTAAGTTGATAGCAGAGATAATACTCAGCAACTGTCTTGAGATACTCATTAATTTCTTATATCCTTGCCAGATTCCCACAGGAGAGACACTGGAGCAGTTTGTGTGCTTTGCTCTGTCGAGAGTGCCAAAAGATGAAGCAAATGAAGAGAATAATGAAGACGATTGTATTTCTACATGGCATGAGGCCAAAATATATCTTGTTCATGCTGTCAGCAAGCTCAGACTCTATGCACAGGTACGCTAATAAGTTAATAGATTAAATTCCTAATTTTTTGCATGTAATTGTCAACAGTAACTCGGTATAAAGATCTGACTTATCATCTGTTAAATGTTACTTTTGTAAAATTTTCATCTTGCTAATAAGACAAAGTAATCCATAGAAAGAATTGTTACAGTGGCAGTCTAATCTATCACCATGTGTCCACTTAATCAGATTCTGTCATTAACTCAAATACAGATTTGAAATCTAATAGGGAATATGGTAAAATATAATATGATGCAGAGGCCTAGCAGAAAGAAGTTTACTGTCTGACCTGAGCCTGAATTAAGGGCAAAACTGAAAGCAGACTACAGGCCTCCACTGATATAGTATACAATTAATTTATTTTTACTTTTCCTCCACTATCTCTGGCAATAGTAGCTGAAGCACGTTGCAGGGGATGAGAGTACATGTCTAGTATAGCATCTCAAAATTCTGCTCTGGCAGAACAACTTGGCATGCAGTCTCTAGGATGACATATGTGTAGTTCATAGAGAAAAGGATAAACAATTCAGATGTTTTTGAATGAGAACACTTCCCTAGCTGTCTTAATGCTGGTGTTTGTTTTTTCACTGAAATATGAGATTTTTTTAAATAAAATAATAGAAGTTGTGTATCAAGCTGCTGTGGAGATGTTTGCAATATCTGAAGAAAGCATGTAGAGCTTACTGTGTGTTTCCTCAAAAATGGAGCCTTTGATTTTTCTCTTGATAAAGGTTTCACTGATGTGTGACTTGAAGTAATAATTTGATTGCCCAAACTAATGCACTAATTTCTATTAGCTGCAGGAAAACTCATTAATAATTTCAGCCATGATTTAAAAGCTTTTCAGAAGAGCTGACATCCTTATGGTGGCAACTTGAAGTACTGTAAGCTGCTGGCCACTGGAAATTCCCTTGGGGAACAAAACATCTCTTATAGTAAAATTCTGTTATGACCACTTGGCATTAAATAAATTAATGGTGGAAAAAGGAAAGTAGTCAGTAGATTTGGCCAGGCCTTAGTATGCCTTATTTATTCCAGACTACACAATAGGAGCACGCAGGCTCATTTTTCTTCTCTCTGTGTAATGGGACACCAAAAATGTTGAAGCTGCTGCCTTCCATTTTCTTGTTAGTGTAGGCAGAAGCCCTGTAAGGGAAAGCAAGCTTTTGACTGGAGGTCTGCTTTTGATTGGTTTCAGCCTCAGGCTGTTTTTATTTTACCATTCCTGGGTCTGTGGGCAGGGACAGCACAACACAGGATGTTAGTTCTCCATATGATGTAGCATGTTACATAGGCAACTTGCAGGTCAGTTGAAACTGTATTGTAAATCAACCTCTGTGAGGCCAGTAATTTCAGAGTCTAGACACACTGTTAGGGAGAAAATTTTCTGTTATTAATTGCGTGTGTGCGCTTGGGTTTTTTTTAGACATGCAAGTTTGGTGTATTTTCTAAATAATAAAGCTTTGTTTTTTTAACAAGGTGCATTCTGTTTTGCATTCAATCTTCTAGGTATTTGAGCAATGGTTCAGCAACAACAGGTTCTCTCAGAAACTCCTTTTGGAACTTGAAAGAATCACAGATGATTTAATGTCTCGGTTTCTAGATGACAGGGAAGTCAGGAAACTTTTTGCAGAGATAAGTACCCTGATCCAGGAATGGAATAAGAAATCAGATGCCTACTTTTCAGAAGGATATACTGCATCTCATGATCTGTAAGTTATCTTTCTGCAACTTGTCTTATAAAATTCAGATCAACTGAATATTTATTTTGACATTACACTTCACTGATTTCTGATTTATAAATGAATTGAGAGATTCTGCACAGGACTTAAGCTGTAGATGCAGGGAGTTTATGTTTGTCAGAGGCTTATGAAAAGACTGTGGCAGAACACAGGAATTGATAATTCTCTTTCAAAATGCACATTGGATGATTTGTATCCCTTCTGGGAGTTATAATGTTGGCCTCAATTTGGCATTTGTATGGCTATATACTTGTAATAAATTGTTCATATCAAAACCTGTTCCTCATTAGAGGAGAGATGATCTATACTATACAAATCAACATCTGAGGATTAATCTGAAAGGTACAATCCATTATCTACTGTTAAGGGAGAGCCTGCAGTCAAATTGTTCAATAATTTATTTGTGCATTTTGGAATTTGGTTCTTTTTTTTTATACAAGGAAACTGCTATACTGGTGCTGTTGTAAGAACCTACAAAGTAGATGATATAGTGACTGCACAACAGAAAAAAAGTCCCATAGCTTTTTAGCAACTTTATCTTTTTGTTTGTAGTACACAATGCCACTGTGCTCCACCTCTTTTGATTGCAGAATCCTGAATCTGGAGAGAATGAAGTCTGTACTTCAGGATGTACCTCAATGGCCTATTTCAAAGAGATTGCTTCTGGTAGATGGAGCCATAAGGAATGTGATAGCACAGTATTTATACTTCACTGAAGGTAAAGCTGAATGGTGGTTATTTGTTACTATCATTCAAATGACTTCCACAGTATAACATGGAAAATTAGTAACATTCTACCTCTAGGAAGGCATTTGGGCTCTGCAATACATGTGCCCTGGGTTGGGGTTGGAAGGGACATTAAAGATCATCTTGTTCCAAACCCCTGCCATGGTCACCTTCTGCTAGACCAGGTTGCACAAGACACCATCCAACCTGGCCTTATGCTGGGGGCCCCAGAACTGGACACAGTACTCAAGGTTGGGGTTTCACCAGAGTGGTCTAAAGGGGCAGGATCACCTCCTTTTATGTGCTGGTCACACTCATTTTGATGTAGCCCAGGATATGGTTGGCTTTCTGAGCTGCGAGCTCACACTCCGGCTGATGATCCCCAAGTCCATGTCTCCCACAAAGATGTTAAACAGTGCTGGTCCTAATACTAACCCCTAAGGAATGTCACTCTTCACTGGTGGTACTTGGTCACTTGGTTGTCGAGCCATTGACCACAACCTTTTGAGTGTTGACTATCCAGGCAGCCATATAGGTATGAACAAGAAGTCTTGGTTTAGATTTAGGTGTAGCTTGGCTTTTCTGGCTGGTCATTGCAAGTGAATCAAAATGGCCACCTTACAGACTGAAGAGCATTACTGCCTGGGGGCATTGGACTTATTAGAGGAAGCAGGGAAAGAGTGTTTTGGGGTTGCACAAGGCAGTATGAGAGGTTTGGAAGGGGAACCAGAAGCGGGGAGATGAAATTATTTAGGTGGTTTGGGGAGTAACTAGGATGGGAAAACAGCAATAAGGTGACAAAAGAGGGGTCTCTCGTAATAAAGAGGCTGCTTGCCTGGCCATGCCCCTGAGCATTGTAGGTCTGTCCTGCTTTCTCTCTAGACTGCGCTTCTAATTCTTTTACTGGGTGAGATCTCTCTATTCTGGGCTCGTATACCCAGACGTCAGCAACTGTGGAGGGAGACCGAGAGGCAGGGGCATCTGCTGGGCAATCTGGTTGGCTGAGCCAAGCTGCTAGGGGGGATTGACACTGTGCGTGTACATATATATATATATATATATATATATATATATATATATATGTCTCTAGCAGACCTTCACCCTGACCAACCAGGGAGGTTAACAGGGTGAGGCCTTTGGTGCTGTTTGTGGGCATGCAAGTGCTGTATGTGTTGGTCTGTGTTGATCTATGTGGATGGCCATGTGCATTTACTGTGCATGCATTGGCTTGTGTGCCTCCCAGCCTTGCTGCTCATTGGACCACGGGGCATGGAGGTGTGACAGCTTGATCTTTGTAGGGCTACTGGATTTGGCAACTCAATAACATGACCTGGTAACATTTCTGTGGTTGTCTTTTCATTCGAGGAGAGAGAGATTAGTTTTGCTTCACAGCTTGAGGAATTAGGCAACCTTTCCATATTCCAGAAATTTTTGCTGGTTAAATCAACAGTTACATGTGGGAAGAGTTTATAACATTCATAGCTAGAAGCCCACACAGGACCTCATTTCCTTCCTGGAAATCATGAAAGGTCACTGAAGTTGTTTGAGCTACTCTGATATAACTATGAAAGTGGATAGGATCATGCTTTTGCTGGTGTAAGAAGACTTGTCTCTTCTTCCTGCCTTGTCTCCATGAGCCTTTTTCAGTGGTGGCACATGAGGGGAGCTGTCTTTGCTCCCCAGAAGTGCAGAGTGCAACTGCGTACATCTTTTGTGCAAAATGGAGAGCTCAGGGCAGGGATGTCATCTAAACAAAATTGAACCTTTATACCTCTCTAACTGCTGTATTTTTAAACTCTGTCATGCACAGTTTTCTCTTCCTATAAGGATGTTTCCTACTGTAATATCCCAAAATTACTGTGCAGGTTAAATATTTTCTTTGTGGGGTGTGTGGGAAAAATGTCTTACAGACGCTTTACGTAGCCTGGAAAAACTGATTCCCTTTGCCCAAAGAGATGGACTCATTCATCTTGACATCAGAAAGCTCTTTGTGGAGCTAAAACAGGTATGCTTTTATTTGATATTTGTATGTTAATTTGCATAAAGCTCCAGAGGCTACTGGGGGGATAAAAAGTACTTGTTAAGTATTTTACTTTTTATTTGGCAGCATTCTGGTCCAACTTTACTTTGTACTCTTTTGTCTTTTGACATTTCATTTTAAGAATTAATATGGAGTGTGAATCAAATCTGTTCCTTCATCTTGAATTCATTTTTAAATTGACAGTATATTAATTAAATTTTAGATGTTGATGAGCAATGCTTCCTATGTTTGCAATGACCTGCTTACAATGTTTGAGAAGACCCTAAGACTTCCACAGGGCTCAGATGGCATTGGCATTTTAGCAATATACATGTGCCCTGGCAATGGCTCAGAGGTGACCTTTAAGCTAGGTAACCAGCTCCAGTCACTAAAGGAATCTGTGAGTAGTTCTGACTTTTCTTGTGTTTAAGGCTTGCAGTGCCTTACTTATAATACTATTACAAAATAAAATGGATTAGCAGGGGTTGTAGCTTACTGCTTCTTGTTTGCTAATAATAAGTGGATGGGTAACTGATCATTTAAACTGATCAAAATGTGCTTGGTGGTTAGGCACAAGTGGTCTTAGTAAGTCTCCTGAGTGGATGTGACATTTTAGACCTGCTAAGTATCTGTGGCTTACAGAAAAAGAACTGGAAGGTTTGAAAGACTGCTCATTTAATCTCTTTTACATTGTATTTCAATAACATTAAGATTACAAATATAAGAAGCAGGACCAAAGGTGAGTTTCTTTTTTACTGGTTTCAAATATTGCTTTCTTTACTGTGAAAGGTCCTGCTTCTGCAGAAAGTAACTCAGGGACGACAGAGCCTGCCAGATCCAGTAATGAATGACTCTTTGGGATGGCAAGAAATAGAAGAACAGCTAACCAAAAATTATGCTTATTACTGTGAAATTAGTCAGTTGCTGAGCACAGAAGCACCATCTGAGGAGGATGTCCATTTCAGCTCTTGTCAGGAACAGCTGCTCTTCTCACTGTATGTATCTTGTGTACCCTTTAATACATAAAGATTCTGACTGGTACCAGCCTGGAATAAGGTATTATAACCAGTAACTGAATAAATAAAAAGGCTAAAATCCTGCTTTTTGCTTTTGATTGCCACCCAGTATTAACAATTCTCTATAAGCACAAACAGGAAGGTAGAGGATGATTTTTTTAATTGTTATTATTATTTTTTTTGTAGTAGCAGCAGTAGTATTGGAGAGTAGTAAGGGTGGAAATAGCCTGAGGATAGGCAGGTATCTAGGATTCTAAAAATCTATTCTTCCTTTTTATCTTCTCACATCCACGTATTTTCTGTTACTTTTCAGCCTGCTTCCTCGTATTGCTCTCTGGCACTGTGCTGCTCAGGATGCTTGGTAACTTGGATCTGAAAGACTCCTGGGAGATGCAGGGAAATATCAAAAAGAGGGTAGTTAGGAAAGCACAGTAGGAGGGGTACTGCAGCTTCAAGTTGCTTTCTCAACACATCAAGTAGTTGCTGTTCCTCTATTTTGGCAGAAAATCCATTCGTCTTTTTAAGTTGATTGCCATTTTCAGTGACTCAGTAATTCTACTGATTTGAAGTTTTCATGGTGCTAAATCAGACTATATTAGAGACAAATCCCTATATCAATAAAGTACTTTATAATAAGGTAGTGTTTTACTTTTCCTGCTTGGCAATGTAAAGCATGAGAATAATACATTTAACGTGAAATTGCGTTTATATTGGACACGTGTTCTATGTCACAAACTTAAACATGTATAGAAGACAAATATCTACATTTCTTCTGTACATGAGATACTTGACAGAAGAGTTTTCTAAAACTATTAGCTCTAATCATTCAAGAATCTATGAGAAATTCCACAAGCTGCTTTGGCAGCAGGGATTAAATCCACAGATATTAATAACATCCCAGATGTTAGAAAATTGTTGTAATTTTTCTTGTCTATTGCTGTTGGTCAATGGCTGATTGCCTTCTCTCTCTCTCCCTGTTACTAAAAGACTAAAAAATGACTGTAAGGACTAGTTTTACATTCCTCTTTAGAGCATCAAACCTGCTGATAGAGCTTAAAGGTCCCTGGGAATAGATGCTTAAGTAACATTGAAGACCAAGAAAAACTCAGCGCTATTTGTATGTTTTGTTGTTGTGTTTGACTGATTGGTTTCTGGTTTGGAGTTAGAACGATGTAATACCTATGCTGTCGTTTTCTTTAGCTAAGGACTCTGCTATTAGACTGCCTGCTTGAGTTCCCACTTAAGTCAGTAGGACTGTCTGTACACATAAAGTAGCAATAGAATTTAGCTAGAGATTTTGCAGAGAAACAGCATGTGTTCACAAGGTAATTTGACTTTGAAAGAAATCACTGGTTTAATAATGGTACCCTTGTTTTCTGTGTCATTTCAGAACTAATAATACACTTGAAGAAATTTTGTTTGTTTTTGAGAATAACCCATACTGGGAGGATTTAGCAGCTTTTGTCAGTTGGATGTGTGAGGTAGCTCAATCCATGAATGAAAAAGCAGCAGGCACCATGGGAGGTCAGTCAGGTGAGGAAAGAGCTACTGCACATCATAGGTTTTATTCTGATGGTTCCCTGTGTGTTGTAAGGTACTGTATTCCTTGGAAAGGGAAACGATGATGATTTTTATATTTGTAAGCCTGTTTGTGTTTCCATCAATCTTAGGATTCATCAGCTCACTGAAACATTAGCAAAGAAAAGTTATAATATACAGAGCCTGACTCTGGTAAACAGCTATGATTTTAGTGACAGATAGAGAATTTTTGGGTTGTCCATTTCTACTGGGAAAATTCCAACTGGTTGAACCTGTGGAGTGTCTGCTTTTTTTTGACATGTCTCTTGATGTTGACATTTTCATTTTTCTCTGCAGATGAGCTAGAAGCATCTTTATGTTCTAGACAAAAGCTCAATTTGGAGACCATTTTAGGCCATTATTTAGCATTTCTGCAAAACTTACCAGATTATTCCTCATTTATTTCCTGGGCACGGTAAGGTTCAATTTAGTTTCTTTATTTAACTGTTTTCCAGAAATCCTTTATCCCACCTCCACTTTGGACTTTTGCAATTGTTGATAGTTACCCTGCCTCTTTTCACCAAATGACTGATGGTTTTTGGTATTACTGGGAAGAAACAGAATTCTACAAAGAAATTTACGATTTTGTGGCTGTCATTCAAAGGTGTTAAAAAAGACTTCTCCATCTTTGGTGTGTTATCAACAGTAATCAAAGTGGTATACTCCTGACAGTTCTAATGTAGTGTAACAAGGCCTTCTTGTCACTAAGTTACTTGCATTATAGTCCTCCTAATATCTAGATGAACAGTGAAACCAGAGCCATTTAATCATCACTCTGTTAAAAAAAAAAAATTAAAATATTCCTAGTTTAACAACTTCGGAATAATTGTTGAGTGTTGCCTCTGCTACTAAGTGCTAGTATTTACCATGCTATGCTGGTGATCACAGCTGTTAATAGATAAGAATACTTTCTGAATTATATTTCTGGACTTTGAACTTTATTTTTCATTGTGCTGATATTTCAGCTCTTTGCCGAACCAGTTCCTTCTTTAACTTATCGAATGGAAATAGCCACTATCAATGCAGTGAAAGATGAAGAATCAAAAGCTTAGATGTTCTTAATATCTACCTTAAAAAACCCCACAGGTTGCAGAATGCAAATTGCTAACTTCAATGTTGAGTTACACTTAAATACACTTCTTACAATGTGTATTTAAGTTGCTAAGCTACTGTCCATCATATTTGAAAAATCATAGCAGTCAGGTGAAGTTCCTAACGACTGGAAAAAGGGAAATATAACCCCCACTGTTTCTAAAGTATGCGCTATTTTCTTTACACAGTAGGACTTAACAAAATCAGCTAACTTGTTTGGATTTTTGTGCTATACATGCAGAGGTATTTCTTTGACTAGGAAAGAGGTTCTGTTTGGGGAATACTTTTTTTTTTAATGGCTGACATCTTGGTTTCTCTCTTGTAGAAGCCATACCAGTAAGTGACACAGAAATTCCCTCACAAAGCTTTTTAGTCATGTGTGGTGTTCTGCATTTTAGCAATTAAAAGAAAACATATTTCAGAAGGTATTTTCATCTTGAGATCTTGCATTGGAATGCTCCTTCTCCTTACACCTCAGTCGTCACCAGTCTGACAGAACTAGTAAAAATTTTTTTTTTGATAGACAGTATTGACACAATGGAAACACCATTTGAATTTTTTACTGTGATTTTATGTGTGGTTTTTTGTTGTTGTTGTTGTTGTTGTTTGTTTGGTGTGTCCTGTCTCATTTCCCCTCCCCCCAGTATTAAAATGACACTGTTCAGCTATCAATCAGTGAACTGGAATGTTTTGGCTTTCAGTATCTATGATAAAGCAAAAAAAAACCAAAAAACCAAAACAACCCCAAAACCTCATTCTGAATTAATGGAAAATTAGAGAGTCTGATTGATTTTATTGATAGTTCCTTTCTTTAAAATAATTAGTCTGTGAAGCATAAAAGCTTTGCTCTTTTCAGCAGCTGAAAATGTGACATGCTTAAATTAAAGGTGTTTGACTCTCATGGCTTACAAGGTGGATTATAATTACTGATCAGTGCATGCTTCTTTAACCTAGCTGCCTACACTGAGGTTTTGATTTGAATGTGCTGTGACTTTTCAGTGAGTTCTTTCACATTTTTGTAAAACAAAGTAATTGTCATTTGTGCTGTTTTAGGTTTTGTGGTAATTGTTTTATGACTGATAATTAAATGATATTTGAACTTCTTTAAATTGAATAAAACTGTATTCTAAAATTATATAGTATCTAATTAACCAATTATTGTCTGCCTGCTACATAAGTAATAAGAAAAATCTTGTGCTTAATTTTTCAGGATTTTGACATCCTTCAAAGAGTTCTTGAAGAGAGAAGAAAACTTAACTATTTCTGGTGAAAAGGATATAGATCATCTTTTTCATCTGGTAGAAGTCATAGAACATATTATAATGCTTGATTTCTCAGCTTCTTCAAACCAGTCTCTAATTGAAAATGTCTTGAATAATACAATTACATGGATGAAAACTTTTGGTGAGGGGAAGGAATCTGCAGTTTCTGAACTCCTTAATGAGCTGCAAGAAAATTTCCAGCCTCTTCAGCGATTCTGGACGAAAGAGAGGATAGAAGTTTTCTGGCGTATAGTGAAAGTTGTATTCTCTAGGCTCTCTCATTTGAGGCAAGTGGAACAGGAGGAGGTATTAGAGGCCTTATCTAGAATTTCCATTACAGAAAATAAAATCCATAATAGAAGTATACTATTGCTCCAAAATATCCTGACTAGTTGGCCACAGTTAAATATTGCTGCTTTGAACCATCAAAAACACTTAAGTGAAAACTTCCTAAGGAATCTCTATGAGGTTGGATTGTTGGCTGATGATCATGTCAATGTTTCTTTCAGCAGAATTCATAGGGTTAGTAATGCCTCCTCTTTATTACTCTCAAATGCAACTTTTAGATACAAAGTACAAGAATTGGGAGAAATTGTGCATGGTTTCTTCAAAAACATCCAAAAACTAAACAGCAATAGTGTGGTCTCACTTGTTCCAATACTTTTCTCTTTGTATCAGAATGAAGATCTCATCTTAAATGTTGAAAGCAATAACACTCTGTTAACAGTTCTTTATGAGAGTTTGAAAGTTATATCATCTTTTCAAGGATGGCATGATTTCCAAGATAGGGATAAAGTTTTTGATTTGCTGTCTGAAACTTTTGATGTTCTCTGGAACTTCAGTAGTAAATCTCTCTGTGAAAAGTTACTAAACATTTACAACTACACGGAATTTCAGGCCCAGTCTCTTGCACAGAAAGGAAAAAAAGATATGCATGTTGTCTATAGCACTCTGAGCAGCCTTAAAACTTTGTTTATAGATGAAGAGCTCCAAAGAGATGTCTTTTGTTATTTGGAACAGTTTCTTGATATCTCCCCAGAATGCCTGTCACATAATGAGTGCATTGATTTTTATCTCTCAGACATTACTTCTGATGATTATTCAGCAGAGGTTTACAGCTTACTTCTGCTTTCACTGGACAGTGTTCTGTCTAATATAACAAACTTGGGAGATAAGGTAAGTGTGCCTTATGCTTTGCACTGCACTTTCACATGGCTTCAAACCTGGACAGAGATTTTTGAAGAAGCATCCAAAATCTTAAATTTGAATTCAACCTTTTTTGTCTGTCTAAGAGATGATTTGGCAAATCTCTCTGAAAGTCTTTTAAATGCAACTCATGATAAACTGTGCAATAGTACAGCTATGGTTATTGTTGAAACGACAAGAGCAGCAATGAATCAATTAAATATAATATTTGAAGGAGGTGGTGATTTAAATGACTGGAAAGATTTTGAAGCTTTCCTTGCCAATCTTCAAAATGTATTTAATGATGAAGTTGATGTCACAAGCTTACTTAAAGGTAACAGTTTAGAAACTGGTTTAGAAATGATGGGACTCATGATAACCGAATTGCAGAAATCTCTACTAAAGGTTGTTAATGGAGAGATTTTGAATTCTTGGCTTGATACTTTAATCTCAGAGAGATCAGGAGAATCTGAGGTAGAAGATAGGGGTGCTGGTGTATTTTCCATTGGAAATTCCCTTTCTACTCTTCTCAAGCTTTCCCAAAAGGAACTTGGAATTATTCTCACTGAGATGAAAGACGCATCTGCTTTCTTTAAGAGTGTACTTCAAGGAAAATATATGGTCTGCATCAGTGTTTTCCAGAATATTACCAAGCTATTTTTGGACAATACTCTGAAAGACACAAGCCATTTGCAAACAAATTTTTCATCTCATCTCAATTCCTTACTAAACTTTTATAGTACAGTGGATGAAGCAGAGGATTGTAACAGATGGATACATGGATTCCGTAATCTCAGTGAAACTTACAAGTCACCTTCCCACCTTGAAAGTGCAAAACATATTTTATTTTTGCTGAAATCTCTAGAAAGCATTGAGACAGGTACTAAGCTAATGCATGTGATGGACATTGTTAATTTGGTTTTTAATTTGATATTCCCTGAATGTTCTGTAACTGGTTCTGATGTGATTTGTCTAAACGTTTATTTCGGTATTGTAGCAAAAGCTTTAAAAAATATTCATCCTGAATTTTATGTAAAAGATTACATTAGTGTGCTTGAATTTATTTTTATGCTTTTAAGTAACTCTGGAGGGCAGATGGCTGTCAATGATTTAGTGGGGCACTCATGGTATGCATCAAATAAGACCCATTTTATTCAGTCAATTCATGGATTTAACAGGACTTTGAGGACGTTCCCTAATTCTTTTCACCACGATCAGCTTTCATCAGTAGAACTTTTGGCAGAAATACAAACTCTTCTGAAAAATAAAACTTTTGAAGTTCAAGAAAACAGCTCCTCTCATTTAGATATTGAGATTGAACCTTTCTTGCATCAGAAAAATGCCACTTTGTTGATGGAGTTCTTTCAATATATGATTAGTAAACTTGACTTAGAGGGTGAATACAAAACATTTCTCCAGGAACTGATAGAAACAGCAGCTCTAAATATTGAACTGTTAAATAAAGCGCTTAAAATATTCAAGTCTTCTAGTTTTACTGGCTTTCCATTAAGAGATGATAAAGAGTTTCTAAAGCGCATGGTAGTCTTGGTGCAGAACATGAAGAGCATGGATGTTGAGTTCTTGATAAGACAATTCAAACAAGTCCAGAGGAGCCTGGATAACTTCTTTAAAAATATCAAACCTTTGTATATTGAGAACTCTGAGTTAAGAATGTTGACAGACTGGTGGGATGCATTTGAGAACAATTCATGTAATTGGAACCTGACTGGCTTATGGCAAATAACAGCACTCTTTGAACAAGATGAGCTCTATGATGTAGAAGAGATTTTCCATTTCCTCCTTGATGTCATCAGTCTTACAGAAAGATTAGCTCATGGAAACATCACGGAAGCTCTAACTGAAATCTATGCTTTCATACTGACTCAGGAAGAAAAAATGCCAATGTTTTCTGAAGAGGAGTTCTCTAATCAAGTAGAAAGTCTTCTGATGTTACTGGAGACACTGAAAGCTACGTCTGATGAACCTGCAGAAGCCTCAGTTTGTTTTTCTGCAGCATTCTGCTGGAGTCTCACAACAGCAACACCTCCCACTTTTACACCTTGTGACTTAGTGTATACCAATTATACCCTTAATTACAGTGCAGTCATTGAAGTAATTAAGGAGCTGAAACTCATCACTCTGGAAGACAGTTCCTCATGCACTATGGAAGACTTTCAGATGGACATCACTCGGAATCTGACTTGCTTTTTTTATCAGATCAAAGAATGGAACTCTATTCTTTTGAAGTTTTCTGAGCTGCATCATGTAAATGGGTCAGTTCTTAAAGAGCTTCTAGATTTTTGGAATGAGCTGTCCCTCTACGCTGTGCCACTGCAGGTGAACAATACGTATTCAGTCAACTGTTCTTCTACACCGAAGAGACAAGTGGCTTTACAAATTATAGAAACACTGGGCAGTATAGCAGTGGCAGAAATGGAGGTGGCCAAAAGTGTTATTGAACAGCTAGATGATCTTTATGGTGGTCTAAGTTGGAACAGACACACAAGAACATCACTTATAAAGACTGTTCTTACTAATGTTAAGAATATGACCAGTGAAGTTTCTGGGCTTCTGGATACAGAAGCTGTCCTTTCTTTTCTTCCTTTAATTCAGCCTTTCATGATGCTGTCTTCTGTTGGGAACCAGACATACTCAACACTTATGGTATTATCAGCTTTAAATGGAAACAGTAATATGTCTGATAACTTTGAGAACTTCTGGTTGCCTGTAGTTACAAGTGTAGAAGATTTATTGGTGAATTTGAATGTTAGACACTTACTTGCAGTGATAAACCAAGAGTTTCAGTTATTAAGGTTAGTCACTGGACAGTCCTCTTCAATGGATCTTGATGTTTTAATACACCAGTTTAATGCATCATCTGTAACTCCTATGTTAAGAAATTTTGAAGACATACAAAAGATCATGAACAGCTTTGTATGCGAATGTAACAGTAAAAATTATTTTAAAATAATACATTCTCTAATTCTCCTCATGACTAATGAAAATTCAGCGAATGACCTATTGCTGGTTGTGAAAGATGTTATTGACTTTCTGGAGATATTCCAAAATAAGCCTAAGAAAGATTACACTAGTATGTTGTTTGTTGATGGTCATCTTAGCAGAGAAAACTTGAATCATACTGCTAATTCAGTTTTGCTCAAGAGTCTCCTTCATATAATTGCTGATCTTGCTGTTACAGAAGAATTACTCCATCCAAACAATATTGAGCTTCAGGCAGCTGATTTCACTGATTCATTTTTTGGTAACACAAAGAATAGAGAAGTCTCTCTTCAGTCCCAAAACAGAACTCTGGAGTTTATGCAAGAGATCTTGCAGATGATATTTCAGTCTACCACAGGGCATGACAGGAACAAAATAACCTTCCTGCTAAAAGATTTGCATAAGGATATAATAACAGAAATTAGGTGAGTGTTTTCTATGTACTCTGACAGTGTGCTGACAATGACAGAAGGGGTCCTTGTTTGTAAACAGCTCAATCAAAATTTTTAAGTTAATTACTGTCTAATTTCAGATTTGTGCCTTTGAGTAAAACACTACTGTATTTGAACTTATATTATTCAGACCAGGCATATGTGATATGATGTTATATTTTGTGGGCCAGGTTACAGATGTGATAAGTCATCTGTATTGATACTCAAGGTGGTTTCTTTGGAATTACTACAGAAAAAAATGTTTGAAGATATTAGTGTTTTAAAATCCTTGCAGGCATGAACATTGAACCAACAGTTATTAGTGGCCAACAGTCATATTGGCTATGGAGGTAAATATTAAGAAATGCTTGGGATTAATTCTTTGTGTTTTTTTTTCTTTCTTTCTATATCCAGACGTAGATATACTGTATTTGAAGTATATTCAAATTAAATAATGTTGATGACTTATGCAAACATGATGACCCTTTTAAGGCTATGCATATAAGGTTAAGTTTTTCATTTTAGCAAATACAGTTTCTGAAGGAATCTTGAGCCAAAGATCTTTTTTACCAGATTGCTCACATCAAACACAACCATCATGAGAGGAAACTCTGCTTCAGGAAACTGTTTACTAACAACTTCTTAAACTACTGCTAGACTGGAGTAATACTCACTGAATGAATCCACAAGGCGGTTGCTCCAAACAGCTTTAGGGTGTCTTGCTGGTGGACCTACTGATCCTACTGCCATGGACCAGCTGAGAAATGGCATACTGAAGCTGATGCATGACTCTGGTGTGTTATTTAGACCTTTATGATTAAATTTTATGCAAATATGCAGAAACAATAGTCAGCAGGGCCAGGTATTAGCCAAATATGTTAAAAAGTTGAAAGCAAATACTAGAAAAGTGGTTTCTTTCCCTAAATGCTGATTATCAGAGACTTTGGGTATTTGCCAACAAGTCAGTATGTGCTGTGGGATTTCAGTATTTCTAAAGCTGTTATGATTTTGCTTGTTTTGTAAAAGTACTTTCTAACACTTCTAAGGTCTGATGACTTGCTACCATGATGAAAAACTGTTTGTTTTAAAAGAAAGTATATTTTGATTTTGAAATAGTTCAGACAAATGTAAAAACTGTTAATACTGAAATCCTCATATGGTCCATTGAAGATTGCAACCTATCATAATCACTTGTTAGAAATTTTCTGTGGTACCTTTGTAATGAAAATAATGTTTTCTTATTAATCTTTTTACAGAGCATCTAAAATCTGCGAGATTCTTCAGGAACATTTAAGCCCTCCTAGTGTCCTACTCTTGCAGAAATTGCAGTTTACCATTTTGAATGTTCTTAAAATCTTTTCAGGTTGGTTACCACAGCAGTGACAGTACGGGTTACTGTATGTGTTAGTAGAGTAATGGTAAGGCTTTAGTCTGAGCAAGCTTTTGTAAAAATAAGTTAATTTGAATGATGGCAATGAAGGCAAGCATGCTCATGCCTGGAAATTAAACCAACAAAGTTTGCTACTCACTGGAGGGCTAATAACATCCTGTTGTTTCCACAGGGAAATAGGATTAGGACAGTCTGCCTGAGAAGGAGGTTAGATGTGGTTAATATAAGCAGCTTCTCAGAGTTATGCTTCTTGCTCACAAAACAAAAATGAAGTTTTCTTCTTTGGTTCTGTAGCAAGTATTGCTGTTCTTATTACTGACCAGGAAAGTGTAATGGAGAAGATTAATGAAAATTGAATCAAACTAGCCCTTCTTGTCCCCTAAAATGAGAAATCTGTCCAGAAATATGTCTCAGTGCCTTAACACATGACTTTCTTTGCTTTTAAGTTATTTTTGTCCCTTATTATTTGGTTAACTTTTCATATGATCACAGTAATTTATTATTTTTTGTAGACTAGTAAGCCTGGACATTTTCTCTTACAGAAGAACCAGCTGTCATTAACAACCTTTTCTGCGTTGTTACAAAATGTAAAGATGGATTAATGGGTCACTTACTCCTCTCTGTCATGGAAGGAATCACTCTGGTTCAAGATCATTATCAGGTCTGAGTAGATTCTACACCAACAAGTGTACTTTACAACATGCATTAAAATTTGGAAACTGATTAATTCCTTCCCCCCCCCCCCCCCCCCCGCTCTTTGAATGATGAGTTGACAGTAGCTGTACAAAGATGAGGTTTGTGTGTGTACAGCTCTGATGCCTTTGATAGTGACACCCAGAAGGAATTCCTATAAGTAAATATTGGTGAGCTTTGAAAGCTGTAAATATAACTAGAATTACTGGAATTCCTATAACTCAAATAATGAAATTGCCATTAAATACCAAGCAGCAGCCTGTTCCTTTAAATGTTGTGATCCTGCTAATTTCATAAATCAGATGACATTTATACTTTGAAATCTTCACAAGAACAGTGTGAAATCAAGCTAGATACAAATAAACTTCTTGATCAGAGTTATTCCAGCTAAAATAGCAATTGTGGTCACCAGTTGGGGTCAGTCTGTTTTTCAACAGCGTGTGAAATTACCAGCAGGAGAGAGTAACTTTTGGCATTTTGAGACTCATCCACAGTTGGAAGCACGCCTGTGGATAGAACATATATGCGTGCACACAGAGACAAAATACTAAAATCATGCTTTCATTATAGAATTTGCCTCCTCTTTAGGAAATAGCTCTTCTATTTTGTCTACCTGGACATTTTGCCAATGTGAACAGCAATGTTTTGAGGTAAACATATGTCAGAGACATCACTCATATCTCAAAGTAAACTTCTGCTGAACAAATGCATTTCTGAAGTCACCACAGTTCTATGACCTACATCTGCAACCATTAAAAAAATATTGCAAAATCAGAAATGTAAATGTGCAAGAGAAAAAGTAAAGGTGAATATTACACAAAACATAATGCAAGAAAGACTTTGGATATGGATATCCAGATATTTTGGTCTGCTGAATGGCAACTGATGTTTGTCTAGACTTTTTTTTCCTCTCTTTTTTTTTTTTTTTTAAAGATAAAATGGTCAGCCTAAACCAAACAAAACAAAAAGCAAAGATTATTTAATTTTGAAATTAAATTTTGAATTCAAATGATGGCATTTATGTTAATGCATGAATCTCCTTGATAGGTTAAGTCATGTTCACAAATATTTTTGGTTGCTTCCAAAACTCAAATCTTTGAATATTCTTTCATTCTTGAAAATCCATTGCCCACTTTCAATTACAAATACAATGATTAAAATAGTATAACTTTGCTCATATTCCCATTTGAAAATACGCATCATCTAGTCACCAAGACCTGCTACTTCAAGCAATAACACCATCTCAGGGATTTGCTAACCCTATGATCACTGTGTTTTGCAGGATATTGAAAGACTGTGGCCTGCTTTTAACAAGGGGGATTGTGAGATTATGGCATATATGAACCAAAAACTTTCCAATATTTTGGAGAGCTTCCTGAGAACCATGCAGAATACCAGCAATGGCAACTGTGAATGTCAACTAACTTTGGGGAATGTACAGAGACAACTGCAAATGTAAAACCTTTTATATTTTCACAACCTAAACAGTTCTTGTTAGAGATGTTACGTTGTGCATGCATCTGTGTCCTAAATTATGTAGTTACAGGAGAAATGTTGTTTATCAAAGTCTCCTTAAGCTTTGTTCATTTAACTGAAAATCGAATGAATGCATTGCACAAATTATTTAAGTAATTTAGCAAAATTCTGGATATATCTAAAAGCCCTTATACTTTTTGTTTGCTGCTCCACAAGTAGAATGCTTTGGATCACAAATAAGAAAATTTTCAATCTTCCATGCCCTCAGTTGAATCAAAATTTTGATATCTTAATTTTTTACTTAAAGCTGTTTTTCTATGGTCTTGTCCCCTCAGCAGCTGGATGTCTCTTGCAAAACGTTAAATATTCAAATCAGTTCAGTCAGAAACACAGGATGGTATTTTTAAACTGACAGGATTGAGCTCCAGATAATTTCAGATATTTGCTCATCCCTGGAGGAAAAATAGTAGCTTTTAAGTATATGAATAAAACTGCTACTGTAGCTTATTTCAAACTTGCTGTCAGTTAGAGGTGATCTTTGTTATAGTTGTTGCTATACTGGTTTGACTGATGGACTATTTTCATGATTGCTTTGAATGGTCTCTGAATTCTAGTAAAAATACAGAAGAATTTGAACTTTTAGACTGTGCTTTTATGGACTATAGACTCATGTCCAGTTTTGAATGGTAAATAATTCCTGATGTGTGTAAACCATTACTTAAATTACCCTTAGATAGACTTTATTTGTCCTGAACTGCAGTGCTTTGTATCTCTAAGTTTCAAAAATGTGTGTTTAGTAAGAAACATGGAAGTGAGACATTGCTAGACCTGTGCTTTTCCATAAGCTACGGCTTGCTAGAGGCTTAGCCATTGCAGGGAGATATCTACATTCACAGTCTCACTTAGGCATGAAATATGGTGATCCCTACACCATATAAATACAGCCTGAGAAGGTCTGTATGGTTGCATGCACAGTGTGTGCACGTAGAGCCTAATGTGACCCTTTTGCCTCATTTAGTGACTGTTTCATTATTCACATCATTATACATAGTAATGGCAATCATTTCTGATAAACTGTGAAACTAAGGCTATCATTTCAGGGTGGCTGAAAATTTGGAGCTACATTTGTCAGAAAATCCTGCAGCAGAGTTTCTCAGCAATTTTAATCTTTTGAATGGTGGGTTCAAGTTTTCTTCTCTTTTTTACAAGTCACTGCTGTGCAATTTTGTAGGACAATAAGTTTTTCATTGTTCCTCAGACTTTCAAGGGATGCAACGTCTGGAGACTACTGACTTAATGTAATGTATTTTCATGGTACTCGTGTGCCCATATATGTGCTTGCATAGGTTACTCTGTCAGACCTTGTCCAATAAGATGCACAGATTCATTAGAAAGAAGAGGGGACTTAGTGGAAGAAGAAAATCTTAAAGGACTAAAGACTACTTCATTAATTTCAGATGTTCTCATAATATAGGGATGTGAGGTAGCCCATGCTCCTACAGGATAATGCAAATGGATACACAAGCCCTTCAGTCTTCCAGGAGAGTGACCTTTACTTTTGAAATGAAAGTGAATTACACGATATGAAGTTTTTGTGTCCTTTATCACCTCTTAAAATAAATCTAATGAAAAGGATACAGTCTGTGGGCAATTTAATTAAGCAGATTGGTACTGTTGGCACTATTTTTCTTCTCTTCAGGTATGAAAGTCAAAGATTGTGTGCAGAATCTTACTCAGCTGAGGCTGGACATTGGCTCTTCTGTGAATATTTCTGAGGAAACTATAGGTGCCATCTTGGCAGCCAGTATCTCTCATTCAAAGGTAAAACATCAGAAAAAGATACTATGTTAACAGGTCAACCTATATATAGCCTGATGCGCCAACCAAAACAAACCAAACCACTTTGCTTGTGTGGAATCTTACAATTTTTCACCTCTATGCAGGACATTTTGTGAGATTTATGCCTTCAAAATAATAATGTGATGCATTAAGAGATCAATTCATAGCAGCACATCTTTTCCTCTAAATATCACTGCTTCATTACTTTCAGCAGTGTTCTACCCTGTGTGCTGACATGGAATTTGAGCTTTGCTATCCTGGTACTGTAGAAAAAGTGAAGGTTCCTGGAGAAAACATTTTGCATCTTCCCACTTCTGATCTTTGCAGTATGGAGCTGTCTGATTTGATATTTTTTTAAATTCCTTTGTGTGCTTATTGGTGTTCTCGCATTATCTTACCAGTATCTTGCCTTAACTCCGCTTTATCTGATCTCCCTTGTGTATTGTCTAAAGGGTGGATTGTGTAAGTTTTCTGAGTAAAGGACTGGGTGTGTAATCACTGCTTCTGTTCCCTGTGGTCCAAGTAATTAGTAAAAATCATGAAAAATGATAGCTTACATGTTCGCTATCTTGTTAATATTTGTGTGACTGAAAAGTTGGGGCACATTTTGTATAAACTAATCAGGACAATCAAGCAGCCACTGGGTGTCACTGATGCTCCACTTAGAATCATAGAATCATGGAACAGGGTTGGAAAGAACCTTAAAATCATCTAATTCCAACCCCCATGCCATGGGCAGGGACACCTCACACTAAGCCATGTCACCCAAGGCTCTGTCCAACCTGGCCTTGAACACCGCCAGGGATGGAGCATTCACAATTTCCCTGGGCAACCCGTTCCAGTGCCTCACCACCTTTACAGTAAAGAACTTCCTTACATCCAATGTAAACTTCCCCTGTTTATGTTGCAGAAACAGTTGTAAGAAGCTCATGAAAAGTATGGCTATTACAAAGGCAGTTCAGACCATCATAACTACTTCTAGATGATTTGTTCTTTTGCATCTCTGGCAGCGTGACTGCCTTTATTGTTAGCTTGTTGTTTTGACACTAGTAAATTGTAATGAGAGAAGTCATCTTGAAATGATTCAGTTAAATGGGATTTGGTACACCTTTGATTTGCTGGAATTATAAGGGTGATTGACTTTATTTTCAAGTGACTTTCTATCCTTATTTTTTTGCCGAAGTCCTATGCAGAGTTGAGATAGACATACACATCTCAAATTTGTATATCTATACAGATGTGTATTTTTTGTTTACTTAAGTGCTTAAACCCTCCCTCAGTCCAATTGGAAAATTAAAGCTTATGCCTCTCACTGATTATGTCAGATGCACAGGTACTCTTTAAAGCTGGAGTTTAGGCATACCTATTATTATATATATAGTGACTGTCTGATAACCCCAATGATAGCTGCAGGCCCACTGCAGCCCTATATTTCTGTGATTCCATGTTACTACTGTGCTTGCCTCTGGAATGGTACGTCTGTGGGTTGTTTGTGCTTATTTCACTTATCCTTAATTTCTACCACAATATCATGCTTTTGCCATGCCCATTGCCATGTGATTAAATGTTTTTAAACTTTACACTATAAGCATTCATTTACTGAACATAGGAGTTTGGATTAGCTCTGGTATTTGCAAATCTGTCAGGGAGGTTCAGAGGAACTTAATTTAGTGGATAACATATTGAATGGGCTAAAACTGTACTGAAATTATGATATTCATGGGAGGCAAGAGGGAATAAATATCAAATTTTATCATAGAGTCAAATTTCTTCCACAAAAAGTAGTCCAAATCAGTATCCTTTTATGCTGGTAACAGAATTGTGTTTATATTCATACTGTGCTTCTTGCACATTCCCAAAAGAGTGAATATTTAAATATATAGGAAAGCCTTTGGAATCAGAAAGGCCTGAGAACTAAATCTAAATGCCAAATTAATAAGATGGAAATTAACATGTTCATAGGAATTAAGAAGTTAAATTGGATATCTTGACCAACTTTGGCTCCTAATTTAATTTTCTGGGGAATCCTCTTCCTCACTGGGTACTGTCACTAGTTACAAATGCATTCACTGGAGGCAGTATAGATAGATCCTTTCCTAAGGAGTATGGTGAAGCCCTGAGAACAGTACTTTGGCTCTTCTGAACTTCTATTTTTTCTGGACTTGCTGCCATTTGCCTTTCAGGCATTTCAGGAGAAAGGGTAGCTAAGAACCCCTGAGACATCTGGACTTCAAGCATTTGTCTTTTGATGGACATTTTCATAGGAAGAAATAAACTAGCATTATCCTAGGAGGTTTTATTGTGGTCTCACCCTAGGTCTGCTTAGGCATTTGTCCCTTTATCCACTAGTAAATAATAACACTTCAAATGAGTGTTGAACTAAGAAGTGTGAGCTAGCTCAGAGTGAGCATTGTACCATATAGGAATCCCCAAGTCTTTGAAAGAAAGAAAGTCCATATATTTTTTATTTTAGCGACTTGTACATCTAGATTTTGATCCATAAGTGTTTCTGCAACAAACCTGTATATGTATCTGCTAGAATGGATATGTCCAGCATTGTACATGTGTCTGCTTATGGTATGAATGCTCATAGAATAAATGATTAACCTGTTCACAAATGAAAGCAAATCTTTATGAGAAATATGCTTAATTTCTTTATATGTATATAGAATACAACGTAAGAACGTACCAGTCTCATATAGAGCTGTATAGTTAATTCAGGTCTGTGGATGACTGTAAATTGTCATGTTACTGTGACACAAATTATTGGCTATAGAAGAAGGCGATGCATTTCAGGGAGAAACATTTTTAATACACATATATTATGATAGGTTTCTTACAGTGCCTTTGTGGTAGCTTTAACCGGAAGATGTGATGAAGAAGTACTTAGCCTGCTGCTAAAGCTACCTGAAAACAGTAAAACTTCCCTGGTAGTAGAAGAATTATGTTCTTTACCAGCACTGGACTTGTATACCATGTTTGTACTGATTATACAGAATTTGAACGTACGTCATATTTTTTACAAGGTAAGATTGGGAAAACCAGCATGCAGTTCCTATAATTTTCCTTTGAAGGTAGTTTAAAACATGCAGCTAGATAAATTAAATGGTTCTATTATCTCTTCAGATCTTCTTTCTCTGTGAAGCAAACACTGAATGTACGCCATTTTTTTCTGTCTTCATTTAACTCCACAAAATAAATGCAACAGTTGAAGAATGGGATTGGTAGATGCTACTGTATTCCATTTCTTGCTTCCTCAGGAAAATTATCACTAAGGAATTAATTATGAAAGCTTTAGAGAAAACACAAGAGATAGAAGACAGTTTTATTAATCTTTAGCAGAGTTTGCAATTCCTGCAATTAATCACTTCTTAATGTGAAAGTGTGGAAGACTGATGTGACATCCTTGGAACTAAAACAAGCATAGGCATTTGCATTATAAGAATTACAAAATTGGTTTTGGGGAAAAAAATCGTAGCACTCTGAAATGCACTTTATTTGCTGTAGAAATCATGTTGGAAATTCAGGTAGCTCCTTCAGGAAGGAGTTTTCCAACTCTCAAGATAAATCTCTCCATAAGCACAAGCCTCCTATATTTTACATGACCCAAGTCAAAAGACTTTGACAAGAACAATAGAGTGCCAAAGCTATAATGAAGGGGATGCAGAAGTCTGTAGCAAAATGGTATTATTTGTACAACTGCAGATAAACTGGGATCTAGTGTGGGTTTTCAGTGAGATAATATTTTTGCTTGTAAGAGCAAAATTATCATATGAGATTTCTGACAGTTAGCAGACATTTATTTCAGTTCTTTTAGGGTAACAGATTGACAGAACATAAAATGTTGTAAGTACAAATAGTTGAAAACCAGTTATAACATTGGGAGGACGAATATGTTGTTCATCCATATTCTGGATGCTGCGTGTGCAGGTAAACAGGTTGACCACACACTTTTAAAAACAAGAGAGTTTCCCAGAATATGTTAAGATACCAGAGGAAAAAGGAAAGATTTCTGCTTTCTGAATTATCTGCCAGCCTAGAGGAGGAATAACAAGCAGGGGGAGAAAGGGCAGGTAGGAGGTGGAGAGTGAGAAAAAATACAGTGCTTATTCTTATGGTCTTTTCTACTGAAGTCTTACTGAAGCACAATGAATTCCTAGCAAAGAATAAAAAACATTAGCATCTTGGGTAGGATAGCTCTTTTCAGCTCAGTAGGTATAAATGTGTTATCTGGATTTTAATTCCTGATTTGTCATAGGCCAGTTCTAAGATTACCAAAGAATTTGTCTTTAGCTGAATTTGAGAGTAACTGGGGAGTTATACTAAAAGGAGTTTTGTTGAACATGGTTTGCAGGTACATTTTAAAATCAATTTTATAAAAGACTGAATAATTTTGAGTGTTTCTAAAGGCAAATTATTGTTGTAATTTTTTTTCCCTTCTTTTCCAAGTTTAAGATACCATCTGAGGTAGGCAATGTGCTAAACATGCTACTGGATGTGGTTTCTAGTATCAGCTCACTTCTCAATAAAGCCCATTATGTCATGGAAAACCTTCCAGTGTTCCTCCAAAGAATTCAGACTACTGGTGTGCTTGACATCTCTTCATTGCAACAGGTATGTGTATGGTTTTGATATACAAACCTAGTTCCTATTATCAGGTACTTTGTTAGGGATGTGTGCTTAGTAGGAAGACTAGTAGAAATTGTGTCCTAGAAAGTCAGGGAGAGAGAAGTCCATAGACTCTATGAAGATTCATTTGGTCTCTTTCAAGCACTCTGGTAATTTAGAGACTATAGATTATTGAGGTGTTTTTTCTGTCATCTCTTAATTTTTATTTATTTATTTTATTTATTTTTTTTTTTTTTTGGCTTAGGAGATCATAGCCTAAATTAATAGGCTGTTAGGTTACTGATTAATAATAATAGCATGTATTATCTGTGATTTGGAGATAGCCATGCCTTTTCTGCTAATGCTGTAGTTTTTTGTTTGTTTCTTTGTTTTAACAAACAGACTATTATTCTGTTTATAAGAAATAGCTTTGCTTTTTTAGTGCCTAAGATTTCAAGATAGCATGTGCAGTTGTGTCTGCCATGGGTTTCTGTTTGTGTCACTTCATGTTTGTGTGTGGTAGTTCTACTTGGCACTTAAATGTGGAATGAGGTGGGAGTGAGCATATTTCATTTGTTGCTGCCTGTAATTGCAGTTGCTGTGTGAACATCTATGCAGCTAGCACAGTGGTGGATCTAACGTTAAGTAAGTTCAATTCCTTAAGAAGACCTGCTGAACCTGATAGCATACCTTACCTTCTGGATTTGCTATTCTTTGTGGAAAGTTTAGGATTTTATTTGGTTCTAAAATTGCAAATCTGTAAGAGATCCCTCGGTATCTATTCTATGATTCTATGACTACAGTACAGAGTAAACACTGCCTTAAATAATAGTGATATAAATCTCTTTCAAGGTCTTCTGATCTGTGTGATAGAGGCATGTTGTTAAACGTTCTTCTGTATGTATTAGTTTCCATTTGGAGCCTCCCTTTTGGGGTAGCTCTTTGGATGAAGCAATAAAAGGTTTTCATCAAGTGCTTACATCTTTTCTGCTTTTCTGAAACTAGTTCTGGACGTGTCAGACTTTTTTATGAACAAATGAAGTATTCTTTTTGGAGTGAAATCTCAAAGTTGCTTATTTGATTGAAGAATCTCTCAAAAGGTCCTGTTGTCCTGTTCAAAAAGAGTTTGCAAAGGCACAAATCGAACAGTAGAGGGCCTTCTGGTTACGATTATAATGCTTGCTCCATGGCAATCCATATTCTATAGCTATAGCATCTATTTAACCTTGGAATTTTTGTTCCTTTTTCTTTTACCCGTATAAGTATCCTTGTAAAGTATCCTTTCCTTTTCAGGTTTAACTGGAGGTTTTTATTACTTTCTAATAATACCATTGATTATTAATTACTTTTTTGCTTCTTTTTCTGTAGTGGCCAGACTTGTGTTACGAATAACTGTGCTACTAAAGTGAAAATATTGCTTATGCACTTCCCTTCTTAAATTTTTTTTTTCTATTTCCAAAGAAATCAGTCCCTTCTGGATTTTTATTTTCATGATATCTTGCAGCAAAGTGGTTCAGTGACCTAGGAAGACTATCAAATAATGTATGTAGAGATTTTTTAAGGTAAAAATATATGGATCTTCAGCATAGAGTAAGACAGATTGTCTCCTCATTAACTTTTAACTGAAAAAGTTATTTTGAAGTTGATTAAAAAACCACCAAAACCTCTATAATAAAAGAGGTAATAATTTTCAATTACGCACGTGGATTTTTATCTGAAAGACAAAGCTAAAATACCTTTAATATATCTGTAAAATGTGAAGTTGAATTGGTGTGCTACATGTTGTGCAACAAAAGATTATGTAAAAAAAACCTCAGTATCTACTAGTCAGTGGTAACTGGAATACAGAGCCACATTCAACTGTTAACAACCCTGAGTGAATGGATAACTCCCTGAGGAAAAGCACTGCTGGTTTCAATCATGATTTTTGTTTGCTTGTTTGAAATTATTTGCTTATATTTCCATAGCTAATTTTTGATATGTCAGTCATGAATGGACATGCTGGAGGGGACTTGCTGATTTACTGAATGCTGTCAGTTGTGAAATGTGGCCTCATTCCATAATCTCTCCACTAACTTGAACAAGTTTTCTGTTGAAAGTATCATTACTGAAAAGCCTCTTGGTGTTTTAAATATATAAAATTCTGGCTTAAGTTTATGCATGACTAGTATGTTTACTCTTGTATAAAAAATGTTCCATAGCTTTTATAACTTCTTTGACTTGCCCATGTGTTTGTTTAAGGCCAGACACAGACCTTCTGTTCTGATAAATTAAATAGATTTATTTTTATGTTTATTTTGTTTGGTTTAGTTTTATTTCCTTTTGTAACAAGCTCTCAGTTGTCTCAAACATCCTAGTGTCATCTTCATACACTGTGTTAAGATTATTTTGAATGCTGGGGACAAGAAATGTGTACAATCATCTTTGAGGGGAATTATGGCTGATGACTGGTAGTTCCGCTCATTCATGTCTATACCACCTAAAATGACTTTCTTAATCTTGCATTCACCTTTTTTGTAATCTGCATATATTTTTGTCTCTTACTTGATCAAGGATCAGCAATATACTCAGGTAAGCTCCATTTTATAACAGCATCTCACAATTTTAGTTGATAAATAATGTTTTACACTCTCTCTTTTTACACTTGATTTACTTTAAATTAGGTAATTGGTTTCTTGCCATATTGCGTTCTGATCATCTCTTCTCCTGAAATGCCTTCTGCTATTAAATTATGGGCAAATTTCAGTTATTTGCTTCTTTCAGGGCTAAAAAACTTATCACAATAATTGATCACTAAGATCAGTCTCACAGGAATAACACTATCAGCTTCTCTATGACCCAGTATTTTCTTTCCTTTTAAGAGCATCCATGCAATATCTTCTTAATGCCATTTTTTACCCAACACATAGATATTGGATTAATGCTGATTAATATTTTCAAGGACAAGAACACTAGTTTAGAGATAGTATATGTCTTTTTAAGGAAAAAACACTTGCCTTACCAAATAAATATACTGTGTTAGTCTGGAATGATTCTATGATGCATTTAATTCTACTTCTCACATACTTTCTTTCTTTAATTGCTCTCCACTTTAAAATTTATTGCATATCTTGCCTTATGAAACATCACAACAAGATATCCATTATTTCCTGGAGCATTATGTCCTTCTTGAGTACAGTTGGATTTTCTACTCTTTATTTAATTATTGCCATCTAAATTTGATAGACCTGAAAAACAATTCAACCACATCAGTAATTTTGCCATTTTTTAACCAGATTCTACAATAAAGACCTTGTTTTGTTTATGGCTCTACTCAGAAGTAGGAATATCTATTTCTCTGTATTTGTTACTTTTATCCCTTTGGTTTCACCAGATTTTGAAGTATCTTTAACCACCTTGTAACTTTGCAGGAAAATTGCCTTTTTTTTCTGTCTCTCTTAATGTAATGATTCTGAATTTATTTTAGTTTTATGTTTGAGCTGTAGCCTGGCTTGGTTTCTTTTTTTGAATAGTTGATATTTCTACTCCACATGAATTTGTTTTTATTAATAATACTTTTTTTTTTAAGTACACAGCTGTCCAATTAGATCAGAAGCCTCTATACCATGAGGGGTTTTTCTCCATTTGAGAATCCAGTTCCAGACAGTTTTTTTAATCTTCAGTAGCAGCCTTTCTCTGCCATTAATCTGTTGGAGCAACTGACTTGACAAATTGTTTTTTTTGTAGGAGGCTGCTTTTTAGGGGTCATCAGCTTTGATTACAAGCCTACTTTGTTTAGTTTAAACTAGAACAGCTGGATCAAAGATAATGTTTTTGTGAACATCCATCCAAGATAGTTCTCCCACTTTATCAAAGCCAAATTTTAGGTAACATCTTACTGAGTCAGTGGATATTTAGTTGAAAGACAGTAAGTAGATTCAGTCTGTTGGTGGCAGCTTACTGCATAAATATTCAATATGTAAATTTCAAGTTATTTTTGATTGGAATTGGAATTAATTGGCAAGTTTGTACTCTTTGACTGAAATAAACCTCATTTATTCTTCTAGTGCAAATAGTGACTAATAAGGATTCAAACCCACTTTTATTCAGCATTGTGCATAAATAAACTTTATTCCCCCAGTAAAGTCCAGCCAACAGATTCATTCAAGAGCTGTAAATGATGGTATTATAAAATCTGGATATTATTTATTTACTATGCTGTATGTTGAAACTGTATGCAAAACCTCAGATTTTTGGAGCCAACACTGAATTGTAAATAGCACTTTCTAATATTCCTCCATGATTACTAAAGAAGCACCTGGCACTTCAGTAAATGCATTGATCAGGATAAACGGCTTCTAACAGCACAATCTCTAAACTGACTGTGATTTATTCTTTATATAAAGTGCTGCACTATTTTGAAAATTGACTCTTATGTTAAAAAAACCAAACCAAAACAAACAAAACAAATAAAAAAAATTCATTGATAAAATGATAATTTATTCCAGTGCGAAATTTGTTTGGTTGACATATAGCAGTCTTTTTACTATTTGCCAGTTGTGCAGTCTTCAAATGATATCTGATAGTCTAATTATGCTTTTTTTGACAGGCATCTGCAACAGTAATGAGCAACATGTGGTCCAATGCAACCTTCAGTAATACTCTAGCAGCATCTTGTCTTACAATTGTATCCTCTCTTAGAACTGCGTCTGTACAGCCTTCCATGAGATGCCAGTTACAACTGAGGATGATATTTGAAAAATGAAGCTGCACAAAGGAGGCTGTTTTTTTTTTTGTTTGTTTTTTTTTGTTTGTTTTTAATGTGGTGAATGATGGTGCTCATTAGATATACTCTAGTCATGAGCAAATGGCAATAATAAATGCTGGTATGACTCAAGATGTGCAAAAACTAGAAACATATCTAACAAGTTAGAAGATATAGTTGAAAAATAGGTTTTTAGGGCATGTGTGCTTGTTTTTTTTTTCTGTTCTTAGCAACTCTTTTCACTGCAAACATTTATATGCAATATGGTTTGGGTTGTTTCTGCTGTCTTTGACACAAGTCTAATCTACCAGAAGAGTAGACTTTGTGAAAAGTGACATTATAGTCAAGGAAACTGTAGACCAGTTGTCTTGATATTTTCATTCTTTTTTTTCCTGATACACAGTATTTTTCAAAGTTTAATGTAGTACATTATGCTACTGTCTTTCATCAAATATTCTGGCAATTAAAACTGCATTACCCTCTCCTCTTCCCCCCCCCCCCCATGATAAAAGTGATCAGAAAAACAGAAAAGCACAGCAGGCCCTCATTCTTGTAGGCAGTTACAGCAATCTAATTTTGTCAATCTCCTTGGATACCAATACTGAGAGAACACCAGGGCTTCTCCCTGAAGCTACTAAAAGCAACTTTAATTCATCTGTATTTCTGTTTGTTTTTTTCTAGTTCTTGCAAAGTGGGCAGTTCAGAAGTTCAGCTGTTGGGTCCCTAGAGTCTGTAATCAAGGCAGTGTGTAAAGAAGAATCTTCATTATTCAGCAGTGCAAACCTGTTCATCGACATGCCCAGAATCAAGAGACTCTCGGAGGATGATATGGCAAAATATGGCATTCCTGAAGACTCAAGTAAGAAAAACTATCAGAAATTGTATGTATGCATTCAGAGTTTAGAGAAGTTTTTCCTTCCTAAATGGAAATGTTTATATACCAGCTGACATCTCAGCTGACACTGTAATTCTGAGCACAAGGGTTAATCAATAGAAGTTTTATGGCTATGAGATAATTATGGATGGGACGTAAATGATTCTGTTTGTTTTCTATCTATCTTTACAAATAATAAATAAGTATATTCCTGTCTTAGAGACATATTTATTAGACTTTTTAGGGCACTTGGTATTAAAAATGTGTCTCTCAGATAAAAGATTGAGAATTTACTGCTGCATGCCTTTCTTCTGTGAGCACAAAGCTGTGGTATTATTGTGCAGTAAAATACGCAAGCCCTCTGGATAAAATGTTTTTTAGTAGTTGATGCTCCTATTCTCTTTATCAAATACCTAGAAAATCTCCTGGCTCTTTCATAATTTCACCTTTGCTCCCTTTCCTCAATACATTTGACTCGCCCTGATTAATTTTAGTAATGTTAACAACCTTGTTAGTGCCTCAGTGGCCCTGTGAGAGAATACAGTGATAGAGTATCACTAGGGAAGGATCTGTGACTGTGGATCACGACTCTCTCATCTATCAGTTTCTACAGCCAGAAAATGATTCTGGCTTGACTGATACCCTGGGGAGGGAGCCAGAGCTCTGCCCTAGCCTTCTTCACTTATGTGTGGGGGACAGCAGTAATCAGGCAGCTCTGCTTTTCTTTTCTATTTGAAGAATGGACTTAGCAGGATGGCTGATTAGGGAGATTGTTTGTGACTTAGCCTCTTTCAAAGCTGTTTAGGCTAGAAGTGCTATTTGTTTCTCGATTATTTATTTATTTATTTATTTTAATATTGTCACAACTGGAGTGTTGTAAGCCATTTTACCTCAGGACCTTGAAATACCTTTAAAGCTGTTAGTTCCAGCATTCATATGAGTGAATGAATTCTGTTTCTTTTATTTTAAAAAATTGGTAAATGAGGCAATGTAAAATCAAAGTAGAAACATTTCTAGGTGGCCACAGAAACTTAATCTGTACTCCTTCACAGTGATTAACTTGCACTTATTTTGTGTACCAGACACTTGCCAATGACTTTCTGAAAATCAGACTCAAATTAGCCAGACCTCTCGGTCTTTGGCATATTGATATTTCTGACTGACCAGCTTGAAGCCTCTTAATTCATTCGTTTAGCAATGATTGTGTTTAGTAATGATTGTTTCCTTGAGGAAAGTGAAAAATTGAACAAAGAAACACTTGTTTCTTTAACTTTTGGCAGGAGTTTACATGGTTTTGTCCTAGTTTTCGATTACGTAAAATAATTTGTCTTCCTTGAGGAGTTAATGACATTACTTAATATTTCTACACAGCACTGGAAATGGGATATTTCTAAATCCACTCATAATAAATAATAAAAAAACCCACCCCAAAACACATGAGTTGGACATAAAAATCTAAATGTTTCTGATAGTAAACTAATTGACCTTACTTGAGTGCAAGTGCAGTGGGATATCTTGTGTCTTGTAGTGGGATATTCTTTGGATCCCAGTTCTGAAGGACATGCATTCTAAAGCATTATAAACCCCACCTAATGTAGGAACATGTGTTTTTCATTAAGGAATGGAAAAGTAAACTGATTAGATTTTTCAAATCAAGAAGTTGTGCCATGCTGTTTTTCCCTTGTGCTTTTAGTAGGTTATCGCAAAATCATACAAATAAAAAAATGTGTATTTGTGAAGGAATTTCTGTATACCTACTTCTTTCTTAAGTAAGAATAGAAAACTGCAGAACAACCAAGGGTGAGGAGTAAGTCTGAATGTTTCAAAGTCACTCTTCCCTCAGCATTCGTTTTCTGGGCAGACGTTTTGTGCATCCTTCCACTCTAAAATTCACTAATGTAACTTTTAGGATAGATGGGGTTCACAGGCTGGTTTTCACAAATGTGAGAACCTCTTTAGTTTGTAATTCTTTTTTGCTTGTCTCATTGTTGTGGTTTAAGCCCAGCCGGCAACCCAGAACCACGTAGCCACTCGCTCACTCCCCACCCTTCCTTCCAAAGGGGATGGGGAGGAGAATTGAAAGAATGTAACTCCCATGGGTTGAGATAAGAACAGTCCAGTAACTAAGGTATAACACAAACCACTGCTGCTACCACCAATAATAATAATGATAAGGGAAATAACAAGGGGAGAGAACACAACCACTCACCACCTGCTGACCAATATCCAGCCTGACCCAAGCAGTGATCTAACCCCTCCAGATAACGGCCCCCAGTTTATATACTGGGCATGACGTGCTGTGATGTGGAATACCTCTTTGGCTAGTTTGGGTCAGGTGTCCTGTCTCTGCTTCCTCCCGGCTTTCTCTCCTCCCTGGCAGAGCATGAGACTCAAAAAGTTCTTGGTCAGAGTAAATGTTACTGAGCAACAACTGAAAACATCGGTGTTATCAGTGCTGTTCCCAGGCTGAAAGTCAAAACCACAGCACTGCACCTGCTACTAAGAAGGAGAAAAAATGGCTGCTACTGCTGAATCCAGGACACTCATGTTTAGAGTTCTGCATCCTCAACACTATCACAGACTGTGGTTAGATAATTCCTATTCAGGGACCCTTACTGATTGCTTGGTGGCAATTCGATGGTATTTAGCATGGTGTTATAGCAGATGCTAAATTAAGACTCAAGATTTTCTTTGAAATTAATAATAATAATAATCCAAATTTGCCATTGTTTTCTGTCTTAAATGTGAGTGAATCTCTGCTTTTGCAGCTCCATTTTGCTTGAAGCTTTATCAGGAGGTTTTGCAGTCTTCTAATGGTGCTTTGCTCTGGACTCTCCTAAAACCTTTATTGCATGGGAAGATACTGTACAATTCAAACATCAACATGATTGACCTGGTGATGAAGAAGGTGAGTATCAAAAGAAACACTATTTCTATTTATTGATTTTTGTCTTTGTACTTCATTTTAAATGTCCACTTCTTTTACAATAGGTAGGAGCAATTGGATAATTGCCTTTCAGAAAACTGGATCCACCCTGACCCCTGAGTTCTCACCTGGCTCTCGCTGTCAGCTTAATATATCTCTTATCTTTTATCCTACTTGTTACAGTGGTTTCATCTCAGTGTGAAAAGCAGAAGTTTTTTCAAAGTCCATTAAATCTTGTATAGATGGATTAAAAAGAGAATATTAGCAGAAGCAGCATGTGAATCATATTCTAGTGAGGTGTAGTATATATGTATTCCAAGTGAGCTTTTGCCCTCAACAAATGTTTCTTATGCTGAAAACTCTAGTGGGGCAGAATAAGTAGCTGTGGGGAAGGAAGGCTTCAGGAACAAAAGTCTGTTATGAGGAGTCACTGAGCTGCATTTAAAAAAAAACACCCACCCAACCAAAAAATCTGCAGTACATCCTTTTTGATTATGTTTCTAACACCAGCAATATGAGTGAGCTTCTATATGTGTGGATGCTGATGCCTTGATATTATTCAACAGTTTTACTGCCTTTGCAGTTTTGATATGGTAGCTGTTCTGTCTTTAGCATAATTATCTACAGTGAAAGAATTGTTCATGACTAGCTTTAAGGCCTCTTTAAGAGGAGGGATGATAAATTGTTTTAAGTATAGTTCTGTGTAAATTTTGCATTTATCTTGAACCTGTATATTTTTTACCCTGAATATTACTGATTGCAAGAATGGTAATTAGGTTAGTTTAAAATGTAGAAAAAGCATTACTGCTTGTATGTGTTATGACAAAAGACTGTAGCTACTTTAAATATGATAGTAACTATTTTCCATGCAAATGGAGTGTATTGTAGTATTTGGACTTGTGTTTGGGCTTTTTTTACTAACTTTTTAAAACAAAACTAAGCCAAAAAAACACATGCTAGATAGAAGATACTAGGTAACTTTATGGTTTCTGCTGTGAATCGGAAATAAGGTTTCAGTGATTCCATATTTTGCTGTTAAATAATTTTAATTTGGGCAACAGGCCATCTCCCTAGAGTTGAGCATAATTAATTTTAAATTTTTAGTCAGCCAGAAATGAAGCTGCACTTGACGCTTATAGAAGGAAGTTCTATAAAGAATGAGATGTGAGAAATGATAATTATATTCTATGTTACAATGACATTTAAAACAAGACACTTAAGACATTTCCACATTATTTTGCCAATTAATATGCTAAAATCATGTTCTTAAAGCATCTCTAAGAAAGATAAATGTCCTGCATACATTGTGTTCTCCTATGGATCTAATGAAAGCAAGGCTCTGTAATATAGTTCAGGATGAAGTTTGCTTATTTTTTTTTTGGTTGTTTTTTTTTTTTGGTTGTTTTTTTTTTTGGTTGTGTCATGGTTTAAACCCAGTCAGGTAACTCGTTCGCTCACTTCCCCCCCCCCCCTTTCTTGCCCTCCCCCTGCTCCTGGAGGGACAGAGAGGAGAATCGAAAAGAATGCAACTCCCACGGGTTGAGATAAGAACAGTTTAGTAACTAAGGTATAACACAAATCACTACTGCTACCACCAATGATAATAATGATAAAGGAAATAACAAGGGAAGAGAATACAACACCTCAGCACCAGCCGACCGATAACTTGCCCCCCCTCAGCCCGACCAAGCACCGACCGATACCTCCTCCAACCCTGCAGTCTCCCAGCCCTTCCGGCTAACTCCCAGTTACATCCTGGGCATGACGTGCTGTGGTATGGAATACCTCTTTGGTCAATTTGGGTCAGGTGTCCTGTCTCTGCTTCCTCCTGGCTTCCCCTCCTCCCTGGCAGAGCATGAGGCTCACAAAGTCCTTGGCCAAACCAAAACATCATTGTTATCAGCTCTGTTCCCGAGCTGAAAGTCAAAACACAGCACTGCACCAGCTACCAAGAAGGAGAAAAATGACTGCTACTGCTGAACCCAGGACAGGTTGTTTTGTTGCTGTTATTTGGTTGATTGTTTTTTTTTTTTAGTGCTCTGGACCAGCGCAAAGATTCTGGTAGGTGCCTCCAGCAGAGTTTCTCATTTGCTTTATGTATTCTTCGGCTCACAAAATTTTCACCGTCCTATTCAGGAATCTTTGTTAATATGCTCTCACACTTCCCCCAGACATGTAGATCTAACAAGCAAGTATGGATGTGTATCTGTTTATGTGTAAATATGCAAGTAGTAGGAGAGTTTCTTCAGCAATTTTATCATTTGTTCTATTACGGAAGTCTGTCTGCTATTGCTTGAACAGAAACAAAATTTAAATGCAAAATATTGTCCCAAGTGTCTCAAACACATCTACTAAAAAATTAGCTGCTAAAAATTACTCTGTAGCTCTTACAGAGCCAAATCTTCTACTGGAATTGGAACAGAAGTACTAATTGATTTTATACTATGTGACCACATGGCAGGTATTTAATAAAAGAAAGAATTAGAGGAGTAAAGCTAAAAAGAACATTGATGCTTGTATAGGAAGATATATTCTTTATGTTTTTCACATGGACTATTTTATATTAAGACTGTGTAGTTGATCATTCTTCAATAACTTGTGAGGTTGCTGGTTTTACCTTCTGGGAAGTCAACAGTTCTAAGGTGTAGAATAACTGACCACCAGATAGAGCCTGTAGTGCTAACAGAGCAAAAAAGTTCAGTGGCAACTGGCATCTGGGAGTTCAAAGACAGTGTGTGATGTCTTTGATCCTTGCTTTTACTACTGAACTTTTTGCCACTGAGCTGATCTTATGAAAGCATTTCTTATTTCAAAAGAGTCTCAGAGTTGATCTTATATTCAGGCAATCACATTAGAACAACTTCGTGCTATTCTTTGCAATTGAAACAGTCAAAGAATATATATATATAAGGAAAATATATAATTGGCAAGACAACTGAGAATGAAAGAAAGAAAACTAGCAAATTAATTAATTTCAGTTTCCTGGCTTTTGTCTAGTATAATTATAAAAATTGATAGTGAATTGAGTAATTTCTTATTCTAATCTTACATATCCTGTCTGGCTCTTCATAAGCACACTTGACTTGTCAGCCTCTTAAAAGATGTCATTATAAAAGCAGTTCGATAAGCTTAAAATACCATTTTTATTCTTACATCATGAGGAGGCTTAGACATATTCAATCCATGACCAAAGTTGATACTCTAATTTAATCAAAGGCAATATCCAGCCTAGATGTTATGAAGAATATTTATTTTAATGGATCTTCATTGATTAGAGAGAACTTGATGAGAATTTCTATTAAGCATCAAAGTCCAGCTGGTCATTAGCATACAAACTCACAGGAGTTGCTTAACCATGTAAGATTAAACATTCTTCTTGCCTTAGGTTCTGATTTCTGGTGTAATCAGTAAAGGTTGTATAGAGAAGAACTGGAGAATCAGTAAAGTGATATTCCCCCAGATACTGTCCCGGCTTCCCAAACCTTAAGGATCAGGCTTGCCAGGAGTGGATTGTTATAATTTGTCCACTTGCATTTTCAGCTTATATAAACTCTTAGTATTCACAGTGTCTTTGATGAGGTGCTCCGTGTCAACTGCCTCTTCTTTGCTTGTTCAACTTCAGCAGAGGCAACTTCTTTTTTAAAATCCTTTCTATCTCCCAACTATGTTTATTTCTTTTATTTACTTCCACTACTACTCTTTATTTTAATTTATTATTATTATAGCAAATTTAAAATTTGCTTAGTATGGATTTCAGAATTATTAGTCTGTATTCCTCTGGTTCCCCTAGCATCTTTCCTATGAATAGCATTGCATTTGTAATTTTCCACTTCCCTGATAACAAATTATTTTTAATCAAGAGGTTACACTACAAAGAATTCTTCAAACATTTAATCCTTGAGTGCTCCTAGAGTTCTTGGCTAGATGGTATCTTTTCCTGGAAACTACTTATTGTTCATTTTGTTAAACTTTATGACCTTTTAAAATTATGCTTCAATTTGAGACATTCTCTAAAGTCCTCTCCGTGTGGAAGGCTTCTCATTTTAAACAATCCCCTTTTTTTTTCTGAGTCTTTCTTCTGTTATTTGGAGATAATTTTTCTTTTTTTTTTTTTAAAGGGAAGTGGAATGGGGAATCTCACAGAAGTTAAATGCATAATTTTTTTCAGGAAAATTAAAATATTTGCAAAGGACCCTTTGGGGCCTTCTATGCTACAAACAAGAAGAAATAATCACCACAAATTGTTTTCCCATGTTGTGCTAGGAGTAGTATTTTGCAAGAGTGAATTAAAATGCTAAGGCAAAAAATTGTGTACTTTCAATAGGACTTACTGCAAAGTGTGGTCCAAATTGAAGTTTACAATTCATTGTTCAGACCATGCTTCCAGCTTTCACTTTTGTTACATATTTAGTCACAGTAGTTTGAAGGAAAGATCCATAAGGTCTGCAAATGCTTTCTTTTGAGTATGTCCTAACTGTTTTCTTTTTAATATCTTTCTGAAACACGTCTGTGGTTGTGTGAAAGAGATATTGTAAAATAGAGGTCTTTATAATACTTCAAGTAGGAAATATCCATGCTGCAGGGAGCCTTTAATTTGCTTGGTATTCAGAGATTGCAGGAAATACTTTTCTTAAGTAGAAAAAAAGAAAACATGGATATCCTTAGTGATGATTATCAAAGTTAAATGGAAAAGAGTTGCAGAAGATCTTAAGTGTGACAGTTTTTCTTTTTTCTTAAGATTTGCTGCGCACAGTTTTTATATCATTGGTCTTCATGTATTGTTTTTCCAGGCTAATTTCACTTTTAGTTTTGTGGAAAACTTGAAGACTTATTCTGAGACATGGCTTAGGATGTCTGAGGTTTTTAAAACCAGTGGAAATGTCCTCACAGTCTCACACCTGCAGGTTGGTGAACTGGGGTGGCTTCCTATTTTCTGGTTATTTTCTTTGTAATGTAGAAAGGTTTTCTGCGCATGTAAAACTAATCTAATCTAAGCCATCTAATCGGCTTCAGGTTTAAAAATTGCTGAAAAGGAGGCAGTTTAGCTTTAGCTTATGAGCCTACAATGTGGTACTGAGAAAATTCTGAGATGAAAATAGTTAAAACCGGTATTACCTCACTATGTCCGGTATTACCAGGCAACGGGGAAATAAATAGGTACACCTACAAGATTTATACACTTATTTATGGAAATTGTTTGCTTATCACTTGCTTTTTCCAAAAGTGTGTGTAGCTGATAAAAAAATAGATGTGAGAAAAATATTGACTGAAAAAAAAAAAGAGAGTAATTTCATTACTGGGATTTTTCCAATCCTACATATTTGTGTCCTTTTTTCCCCTAATAAAATTTAGTTTTACCATGTTTGACTTGTGAAAACATGCATGGGAACACTTTGGGAAAATAAGAGCAGTCCTGTCATGGTCCATACATATCAATTGAACTGTTATGTAAGTTCGTTTAAGGAATGATGCTAATAATCATGCATTAGACTTGCAGATGCCAGGATGCTCTTGTAGAGCTAATGATTTTTTCCCACTTAGAACTTGATGAATGAGGTAAAGAAGTTAAAATAATGTAAAAGAAACTCTCAAATGCCATTTTTTTAAAGGTGTTTTTTTACTACTGTTAAAGCTAATAGTATAAAGGGCCAAAAGTCTTGCATGAGAGGAAAATGGGTTTCTGTCCTAGCAGACTTGCAAGGACATTAAAATGGACTCACAGCTGAAGTATTGGCAGTAAAGGAGGACAGGGATGTAAGCAATGGAGAGTATATATTCTGCTGTTTACTTGAAATGTGTGGAGTCAGACTTTTAAGAGGAGAAGACATGGAGAGGCTAAGTGACTTCTCCAGTGTTATGCAGGAAATCTCAGTAATGGAATTAAACATGAATGTATATGTATATTTTATATTTCTTTAAAGAAGACAAACCTGATGTAATATCTAAGACTTTTCATTTTAGGAAGCACTGCAAAGCAATTTCATAAAGCACTTCGTAGAAAGTCATTTGGATATTGACATGGAAAAACTCCTTAAAAAAATGCAAGTATATGGTATGTACATAAAAGTACATGTACTGAGTACCCTTATTAAACTTGAACTTAGAACTGTTCAGTTGAAATTGAATGTTTTGCCTACTTAAATGATACTAAAGTAACAGACTTTAAATTATCTTGTTGAGTTAGTATCAAATATTTCTAGTTTTTTTTCTTGTGAGTGATTGGATAATTTTCATTTCAAAATACTGAAAGACTGGAAAAATCTGGTAACAATCTAGAGGTGGCAAACTGTCATGCGAGAGTTATAAACATAGTAGCCATACTTAAAAGCAGGGAGGGAGAAGACTCATGTAGCAACAGTTCCATTAGGTAGTAGTAAATTTTGAAAGGAATATATATACTTTAAATGGAAATAAATAGAAAAATAGTCTGGATACACATTTAATCAAAAGCTGTCTGTATCTTTTTTTTTTTTTCTTCTTTTATTGAGAATTAGGTGTCTGTGGTATCGTTGAGCCTTAGTAAAGCCTGAGATACAGTTACAATGAGGGAGCACCAAGACTGGGCTCAGGTTAGAGAATTACCAGAGTCAGACCCAGCCCTGGGATTGGGCAGGTGGGACTATTAGGGTGATGTTGGGGCCAAGACAGGTAGGGGTCTGGGCCGAGATCAGCAGGACCATGGACAGATCCACAGCCAGGCTGTGACGTGATGAGAACTAGAGCCTAGGGCAGACCCAGCCAAAGCTCTGTGCAGCTTTGATGGGAAAGGGGATTATGCTGGAAATTTAAGTTACTTAGAGATTTTATGAGATTTTAATAACTGAAAAACTCCAGTATGTCCTGCTGTCAGTAGGGTAGGTGCATGATAATTAAAATGGTTGCTGGTATGTGCCAGAAGGAACTGTCCATACAAAAGCAGTCTAAAGTAATTTAAGAAATGCTCATGATTTTGAGGACCAGAAAGAAAAAAAAGTGGGAAAAATGTAATAACAGAGAGTGTGACATCATGTACAAAGGAAGCTTTAATTGAAACTCATCTTGATTTGAAGGCTATGTTTGAAGGCTAGGACTAACTGCTCACACTTTCACTAAGAAAAATGGCAAATGATATCCCAAATTCAATCCAGAAAGTAAGAATCCGGGCTCAGTATTGTCCTTAGGCAAGGGACTAAAGCTTGAACCTTCTGTCTCTCTGGAAGATTTACTTAAACACTGAACTGGTGCTGAGTATGGGTCAGTCATATCTCACCCCTCATGGTGAAGCTGGTTTACAATACAACTAAAAAAGCTCCACAGAATCACACAATTGGAAAAGAGGGAGGAAAGAGCAAGTCTCTTAACCTTCAAGGCCTGCTGAAAAATAGCTGTCTCTGTATTAGTTGAGTAATACATGAATTTTATTTGTTGGATCTAACACTGGGAACTTCATGGGTTATGGGCAAACAGTATGTCATTAAATAGATATCAAGATCTCTGGAGTTACCAGGTACTTCTTCCATGTTGCAGACATCATCAGAGAAATCTGTGTATGTGTTTCTCAAGCTGCAGCTCATTAGCAGAGCTAAGAACTTTTGACAATGTGTAATAAATGGTTCATAGTTTTGGTGGTGAATACAGGAAATTATTTAAGTACAATGGCTATGAAACTAGAATTTCTTTATTTTAATGGAACACAGTCAATAAAATTAACATCATATAAAAAGTAAAAATCAATATGAGCTATAGATCACAATAGCATTTATGCCTTTGTGAAGTTGATCTGTCCAAAGTGCCAGAGCACTCTTCTGCAGTTACACTTTGATACATTTCTTTTTACAGATTTGCTTTGTCATTTTGCTTTTTGAAAAAAATGGCTAAGCCCTTTTATTATGTACATTTTTTATATTTTTTGTTCATTTTATTAGTCTATAATCACTTGCAGCTGTTACTATAAAACTCTTATGGTTTCTAAAAGTTCATTGCTCTCATATTGCATCAGCTTCTTAGTCCTGTAATTATTTTGCTTGGATCCAATAAAGTCTTAAATGTATTCATATATGTTATTGGTTTTACAACACACAATCTGATTAATTCCATCCAAAGCTCGGATTTTCTAAAATCATGTGATCTGTGTGATTATATATTTTGCCTTCTATGTAACTAAAGCAAATTTTCCCTTGGTTTATTGCATCTACACTTGCTTAAGCTGATTTCCAATTAAGCTGAAATCCAAGGTGCTTATGTTTGTATGTTTTTTTACTTCTCTACAATTTTATAAATTGCTAAGGGTCTTAGAAACATGCTATTCACCCTATTACTCCTGCTGCAAAGTCTTGTGAACACAGAGGATTGATAGCAGAAAATAAGACATATAGAGTCAATATTTGGTGCTGTTTTTCTTCAACCCATGAATTCACCCTGTCATTGCTTGCCTGTCTAGGCTATCTAGTCTAGCGTTCCAGACTATCAGTTCCTCTACATTTTCTTCTTACAATCTTAATCCTTTCTCACTGTTAATCTTGTCTTTTCTTCAGACTGCTCCATGTATTTTTCCATTTATCTGCCTTCCTTTTGTAATATTTCCTGTGCTGATGCTTAATAACACCTATGATCCAGGGTTTGTCTGTCACCACTGTAATCAAATGCGGTCACCATCCATCCTTTTTAAATCCTGTATCTTCAAGTGAGTCCTGAAAAATTTAAGATGGAAACTTATGTTGGATGCTTTTGTATTTTATTTTTTGCATTGTATTTTACCTGAGAAAATCAGGCATTTCTATCAAATCAAAATGAGTTAAGATTGTTTCTAGATTATGCTATTCTGGTTATTCTCTCGAACAATGATATAGCACTATCTTTACATTTTCTATCAATGGGTGAATATCTGAATTTCTCCAAAATTTCAGTGGTTTTGGAAGTCATGCTTTGGTTGAGGTACACATTCCTCCTGGATCCATAGATAAGATCAAAGTCTGAATGGAGGAGTTGTAGGCTTTTCTTGCATGTTTATGCCTTATATATAAACAGGGTGCTTGAAATATTTACAATGCCAAAGACAGAATAACTGGCCAATACATTACTGAATGAAAGAGATGGATCTCTGTTGTGATGATCAAAGTACAGTAACTCACTAGTATCTGTGGGAGTAGTTATGGAAAGATAAGGAAATGTAAGAAGTCCTACAGCTTCACAGGCATTGTCTCTTTCTAGAACTTTGCTGGAATTTGTTACATTTTTGTTGCTATGAAATTGAAGGAAAATGTAGCTGAGGACTTCCAAAAGCTATTGAAACATGAGCTACAGCTCCACAAGTTCACATTATAATTCTTATGCTTCAAAAATTTCTTCCTTTTTTAAATAAAAAAGTTATTTACTCTTATAGGATGTGCAAGTGAGAACAAACATTTCTGGTCTGCACATTAAAACTGAGGAAATCCAATTTTGTTTCCTTATCTTAGAAACTATGATGAAAAAGATGCTTAACAGCTCAGCAAGTAAACAGATTGACCTGTTGTCACAGCTTCTAGTAAATATATCTTCCTGTGTGTTATTGGACCGCTTCCAGGCTTTTGACTCTGTTGAGAAATTGGAGGAGAAGGCTCATGAGCTCATGCAGCAAAATAATTTATTGGCTAGTAAGTACCTTAGTTAAAATGTATATCGATGGAAAACATCAGACTTTTTAACTGTTGTCTATGTTTATTATAAGGTAGGTTAAGCTTTACACTATTTCAGAATATTTATTAAACCACATACAATACATGAAACATAAAGCACATTTACCTTAGGGGTATTCCCCAACATTTGAATGCTGTAATATATGTTGTAAAGGCTAATTATGTTATTTTAATGGTCAAGCTGCTAAGTGAATCCTTGTGGTCTGTCATTTCCAAAAAAAAAAAAACAACAAACAAACAGCAAATGTTTAAAGTAGAATAAAAAAATCTGAAATATGCAGGATACTGAGTAAACTTGACTACTTATTATGACAAAATAATCTAATTTACATACTTTTGAATTTTAACATTTATATTTTTTCTTTACAAAAAGGAGAAAAGGATTTTTTCGGTAAGGTTTACTCCTAAACCAACATCGTAGAGAAATTAGCTTGTTTATTCAGAGTAAATGAGTTCTTAAGCTATAGATGTATTTCTTTTCTTCCTTTGGATTGTACTCTCTATCCTTTTTCTGCATTGTATCCTTATTACTGAGAATTAATTAATTGTTCAAAAGAGTTCAAAAAACAAGACTGTTTTTCTTATTACCACACCTTCTCCTTTTGCATAAAATGCTTTAAGTTGCATGTAGCCTTCCCAAATGAGAGCCCAATTTAAGCCTATATAAAGTGTGCCACATCTTTTTCCCCTTTTCCCCCTGTTGTTTTGTTGTTTTGTGTTTTTTTTTCTTAGACTCCTGTAAGTACACAACAGAAGGCATGTCAAAGCAGTTGTAGAGAATGAAACTACTCAGTCTGGAATCGTATGTTTGTTACACAATCTGGTAATGACAGCCCTCAATCCATGTAAAACCAGCAGGCCATAACATGAGATAAGGGGAATTTCTCAGGACTGCTTAGTAGGAAGTGAAATTTCCCCTTCAAGAGAAGAAACAAACAGATACCTGCTGGCCCTCAGAAAATCAAATTGTCAAATTCTAAATCTGTTTTGTTTCTGCTTGCATAGAGAACGGTCATATGCTAGCATAAGCCAAGATATTTTTTGGTAGTTTTTTCATTACTGTGGCCTTACAGTCTCTTCATATGCTTGAAGAGGGAAGATGGCATTTTAAGGGGTCAAATGTGTCCAACACATCAATATTACGTGCTCAGATATAAGCATACATTCCTTTACACAGTAAGACATGAAACTAAAGTGGAATTTTTCTTACTTGGTTTGTTTGTAGTCTTTAAAGCCTTCATAACCTCTTGAAATATCTTAGGAAATTAAATGTTTGCATAAGTGAGAAAATGAGATTTTTTTCCAGTGAAAAAAGATAAAATCTTTATAGCAGACTAGAGTATTCTATATCATATTATCTTCCAGAGAGCCAGGTGCTGATTAAAATACCTTTTCCCTTTTTTAAGGGAAAGAGGTCAACATTTCACATTCATCAAGGAGTCCTAAAAAGTCTGGGTCATCAGAAAAAATATGTAAACAATTTGCTGTGTTCAACATCATTTTCCCAATTACAGATTAAGCTTTCATCTGCCTTTTTTTGCTTTCTTAATTTCATACAGAGCTAGAGAAAATAAACATGCAAATTCTGCTATGTTAAAACAAAAGTATTATAATTGGCTCAGAAATTAAAAATGAGGAAATTTTAGTGATTTGGTACTGTTTCCTTTGTCACCCACTTCTGTGAGCTGTTATCTTTTCATCAACAAATTTTATGGCTGCTGCTTTCACTTTGGAATTGAGATCGGTCATCAAAAAGGGGTTAAATCTGAATACAAAGAGAATAAACTGCAGTAAAAACCCCCAAGCAAATCACAGAAGGATTTTCTCTGTTAAGAATGCTTATTGCAAACCCATTTATCATGTGAATTTTTTTTTTTTACATTTCATAATCATGAATCTTATAAAATGTAAATTTCTAAGAAACCTACCATTTTTGTGTTGCAAGGTAATGAAATCTGCCCTGACAGGTGAATGTAGCCTACTATCACATGAGAATTGGCCGTGAGTTAGCTATGTAAATAGCATAAATCATATAAGCTTGGATGCGAAGTTCCTTTTCTTCTTGTGTCAGGTATCATCTTTGATACGCCAAAGAATAAGATGCAAGATTCTAGCAATCTCCTACCACGACACATTTCATATACAATTAGAACCAGCATTCTCTATAGCATGAGGACGGATTTGATTAAAAACCCAGTGTGGAAATCCCATCCCCAGAAGTTACCAGCTGATGGGTTTAAATACAACCATATCTTTATCCCTCTTCAAGACATGATTGAAAGGGCAATTGTTTCAGCACAGACTGGGACAGATACCTCAGAGCCAGACATTCAGGTGCAAGCCATGCCTTACCCTTGTCATACCAGTGATCTGTAAGTAAACCCTCAGCTTTTTATTTCAATATATTATCTTTATTAAATTAATGCTAGAGGACTTTGGAAGCCACTAGGTCTTTGTAGTGGGTGACTGTATATCTCAGTACAGGATTGAACCAATACCAGAATATCACAGCATAGCAAATGTTGTTTAACAGTTGTGACCACAACACATTATACAACATCTGTCTGGCAAATGACCCCTTAAGAGCTGTTTGCAACTATACTATGTAGTAATCTGCTGGGCAGAGACTCTGTCAACATATTGTGCAACTAACTTAAATTATGCTAAGAAACCACTTTCCATCCTCAATTTCCCTATATGCAAACTGTGAATTGGTCCCTGGTATGTGTTGAAATGCAACATAAAATTGGTGAAAGAAAAAGTGTAGGATTGTTCTTTGTAAAACAATCAAAACATCCTGAGCATTAGAATTTAAAATTATTTGGTGGTAATATAACTGTTAAAGTGGAGCAAATGTAGACTGGCTCATGTTATTCTTTACTGTTCAAATATATTACTTTACCATAGACACAAATCTGAATTCTGTTTGACTTTGGAGCCCTAAAGAGTGATTACATTAGTTGTATTGTTGACAAATATTGATATAATATTATAGTAACAATACATATGTTTGGCTTGTTACATGAAAAACCAGAACAAGTCTTATTGCTCATGTCAGACATTCTTTTGTGCATACTTTGAGAATACTTTTCACATGTTAACATTCTCCTAAAAAATATTTTAACTTTTCGGGTAACAACTCTGCATGTATGTTTTCATAGATTCTTGAACAATATAGGATTCTTTTTCCCACTTATGATGATGTTAACATGGATGGTTTCAGTTGCTGGCATGGTTCGCAGACTGGTTTATGAAAGAGAAATTCATCTTGAAGAGGTAAGAGGCAGATTACTGCCTGAAAATAAAATTTATTTATTAAAGCCTACTGAAATACAAAACGTAAACTTTGAGGTACTTTTATGTACTCATAACCCAGCTGGCTTTGCTTTTGTTTATTTCCTCTGGGCTGTAGGTTCTAGTTCTAGGTGCCAACAGAGATTCACAACACTGAGCATCAGTCCTTTTGGTATGCAAATATTGTCCCTGAGACAAAAAGCAAGGAGCAAAAGATTCATAAAAGTTGAAGCTGGAAAATGTTTGGGAAAAGCCCTTGTTATCAGAATGTTTTTTATATTGGATTGATTTGCTATATGTAGTCTACAGTGATAAAACTTCCTAAACCAGACAAAAAATTTGCCACATACTGCGTAACTGTCAGAAATATAAGGGAGGATGACATAGAAAAAATTACATAATTATTTGCTTATATTGCCAGCTAGTCTTAGGAGATGCTGAGCATATGGAAGGATGAGGTTTTATGATACATTTTCTGTATGGCTAAATATACTCTTTTTGGAGGAATTATACTGGTTGTATGCTGGAGTAAGCCTTATTTAATTTGGGAAATTATCTAATTTCTCTAAACTTTCTGTTGTAAGATAGGCCTTTTTAATGCTCTAAACTATAAAATCAACTTTATTAAGTTAATTTTGTTCATCTTATGAAAAAAAGCTTCAGAAATAGTATTAGCTTGTTTCCAAAAGCATTATTATTTGTTTTTTTTTGTTGTTTTTTTTGTTTGTTTGTTTTTAAAGAAGAGGAACAGAAGGGGTAGCCCAGAAAAGGGAAAAGAGAGCAGTCATTTAAGGAGAAGACGACATCCTCTGGGGAGCTGGGGTTGTCTTGGTGGCAACATGTTTTGCTGAAATTAAAAAAAAAGCAAATATACACAGAGAAGATTTGTTTCCTAACTTTAACTCTCTTTGCTATATTGTCTTGCAGTATATGAAGACAATGGGTGTACATCCAGCCATTCATTTCTTTGCTTGGTTTCTGGAAAATGTAACTGTGCTCACAATAAGCAGCTGTGCTCTGGCCATCATTTTAAAAGCAAGTGGTATCTTTGCTTATAGCAATGGCTTCCTCATCTTCCTTTTTCTCATGGACTTTGGAGTTACAGTTATTATGTTAAGCTATTTTTGGGGAGTATTTTTTAGCAGTGCTGATACAGCAGCTCTTTGCGCCAGCCTTGTATATATGATCAGTTTTTTACCCTACATAGTTTTACTGGTCTTGCAGAACCAGCTGAGTTTCACCATCCAGATTATAATGGTAAATATTTCTTTTCCTTTTCCAATTTTTCTTCTCCAAACATCCTGTAGATTTCCACAGTTTTGAAACTGTAGATTATAATTTACTTATTTTTCCCAGGTTTATATCTGCTTTGTTTCACTGGAAGCAAGTCACATGAATAGATATCCTATGGAGAAAGTGTTTTGGATGTAGAATGGAATAAAAAATAAATTTTCAGGGAAATTTTACAAAACTGGGGAAAGAAGCAACCTCAAGGAAGATGCATTTCTCATGCTCATGAGTTCTCTTTATGTTTTGACTTAAAAATATGTGTTATGGTAATGTACCTTCAAGCACACCTGATGATATGCATCTCCTGAAAGTCATTGTTTGAAGGAAAAATAGTAATTGATTCTCTGTTGAGTATAACTGGAGATTAGATCAGAAATTTGTCTAGTGTCTATCTAGCTATACAGTCTGCAGTATATGTTTCTTTGGCATTGGTTCTTCCATGCCATTTCCTGTTTTATGAATGCCATTGGCTGTTTAATGTCTTTGTGCTATCTTAACACACTGTATCTACAACTGGGATATCAAATATCACCATCATACAATGAAAACCATATTTCACAAGTTATATGCTATTAAAAAAAAGGACACTTTTTCAGTGTCAGTAGGTTAAATAAAATATCTTGATTCTTTGCATAAGACTGTAGATTTCGGGAATAAATAGGCAGGGTTGAATTTTTTGTTGTTGTTGTTGTTGCTTTTTTTCTGCTCCTTTGGGCCACAGAGAGGGAAAAGTACACATCAGAAACCTTGCACTCTTCAAAATCAGTTATTTCAAAATAACTCTTCAGATATCCTGCATTTACTGAAAATCAGATGCAACAGCATGTAAAAAGGGCAATAATTTTGGAGAGGGGACATGCCACTAAGTGAGGTGGTGAAATCTTAGGAACCTAAGACACAGGGACCCAGTTGATGGGAATTAACACAAACTTTTCTGTACAAAAATGTAATCCATGCCAGTAACGATTTTGAATTATTATTTTTTTAGTAGCAGCCTATGTCACAGTTCTTTCTTCAGAGAGCTAGCAGTCTGTATTACTTTTTTGTCAGAAACCTTACTTAATTTCATTAATTAAAATATGAGATAAAATGAACGATTTCAGATCACTTTCAGACTGCAGAATTTTATCACTGAGTTATGCTTATCAATTTTAGTAATGTTTTGGATCTCCCCATCAGCCTTCCTTCATGAGCTCACCAGTGTTTTTCCACTGACTATCAGTTGCAGTTCCTTGTTGTTCTACATCACTAACTTGCTCATTTTCCATATGTACTTTTGCAATACAGCATGACTATGTTCCATTTTTGGAAGTCAAATATTATTCTCTTGCACAAATTGCTGTCTCAGTATATAGTACTCAGTGCACATGTTTTTTCTGCCTCTGTCTCTTTTTGAGTTCTGGTCTTACAAAAACGAGTAGGATGACTGATGTTTTCACAGAAAGTACATTCCTTTGCATGCTTTTACCGTGTTAGACATTATATGCTTTTAGTATGTGATATATTTATGATGATCTACAACCTCTTATAGAGTTAAATAATGCTTTCCAATTTTAATAGCTAGGTGATGGAGCTCTTTAAAATTGAGCAAATACTACTACAGTATGTGGAGGAGTATTGCTAAAATATAAAAGAAAACAATGACCATTCACTCACATGAAAGAAACCTCTATATGTTTTGTGCTTGCTTTTAGTGTCACAAGATACTTTATTTCATGGAACATGTTAATGATGTGTTTTATTGATGTTTGCATCCTCTTTCTCTGTTGTTGTAGTGTCTTCTTTCTACAACTGCCTTTGGGCAAGGAGTATTTTTCATTACATTCTTTGAGGGCCAAGAAACAGGTAAGGTCTCTGGTTAGAAGAAAAGCTCTAGGCAGACAAGACCCAGTAGTCTCCCCTCATCTAACAGGCCAGCCCTTTCATCACAGAATTTTAATGAAGTTGGTTAAGCATGACTTCCTCCCAGTGAAGCTATGCTGACTATTCCTGATGATATTGTCCTTAATGTGCCCGGAAATCGTTTCCAGGATTAGTTGCTCCATCACCTTCCCAAGGAATGTGGTGAGGCTGACTGGCCTGTAGTTCCCTGGGTCCTTGTTCTTCAAGTGATATTTGTTTCTTTTGGTCTTCAGCCATGTCTCCTAGTTGCCATGATCAATCAAAGATTCAGTGGCCTTGCAATAGCATCTGCCAGGTCCCTTATTTCTTTTGGGTGCATCCCATCAGGGTTCAGAGACTTATGTATGTGCAGTTTGCCTAAGTATTCCCTAATCTGATCCTCTTTCACCAATGGTACATCATCCTTGGTCTCTGGGACCTGGGATTTCTGCAAGCTTGAGTGCAGTGGAAAAATCCCTGCTGAGCTACTGTGCAGGTGCAGAAATGCTTGAAAACACCCTATTATGTTTAAATGTCAGGAAGAGAAAAATGTTTGGAAACTGGCTAAATGTTCTAACAGGTTGTTATATGTTTTAACATGGTGATCACTACTATCTCCAAGCTAAGAGCTGTCCCTGTTGTAGCTGCTTTTAGAAAAGTGATGAGTGAATGTCTGGGCCCTTGATAAATATCTACGAAGGATGTCATTTATGTATCTAAATATATAAAGGGATGCAATCCTTTTTTTACTACTTTGAGAAGATCAACATTGAGAGAGTGGATGCTCCAAACCATTAGGCATTGAAAAGGTATCATTATGGTACAAGAGTTGTTAAGAGTGGAAGAGACAGTTGCAGAAAATATTACTTAAATTTCTCACCGGACTCTTCATCAAAATTAGTCATCTTTATTGGAGAAAGAGCAAAATATGGTTTGTTTTGTTTTGGTTGTTTACAATTTGGTTACTTTTCCATTTAGCAATATGGTAGCTTTCTGTAGTACTAGTGTTTTGCGCCTCCTTTCATCCTTTCATGTCTTCTGCAATGTAATAATTTTATGACGCAATTTCTCAAGGAGTTTGTTTCAGTTTACCTCTGAATACAGTCAGTGCACACAAATATTTCCTTAGTTAGAATTCAGATTTACATTTTCAGATTTAGCACTGTAGAAATTACTTTAAACTTTGTGCAACCTATTTCTTGATAATATCAGCACAATGGTGTAAAGCCTGATTCATTGAAGAGATCAGCGCTCCATTTTATCAATTGTTTTTAGTTTTGCCAAATTAAGGGCCAGCTAAAACTTCACAAACAGCTCTTTCTACAACAACTTCTCTGTGTTTCCCCAGCAGCAGTGTCACCTGCTGTTCTAAACAGCAGCTTGAAAAAGCATAGCAATTCATTTCTATTCATTAGGATTGCTATGATTAACTGTGGTCTTTTTTGTGTCAGTGTTTAAATACCCAGAAATGTGTGATGTTGATGTGTTTGTGATCTTTAATGCTCTACTGATTTAGCTTTGACCTTTAAAAAATCATTATTATTACTCTTACTACCAGGAATTCAGTGGAATAATATGCACCAGGAAGTGGCACAAGGAGGATGCATGACCTTTGGATGGCTGTGCTGGATGATGCTCTTCGACTCCATTTTATATTCTGTAGGTGGCTGGTATTTCAGCAATATTATTCCTGGTAAGATTATGGTGTTGTTTTTATTTCATGTTTTTGAAGAAGTTATTGAATGGATTTATAGAATGGGTTTCCCTCATTGTATGCAACCAAACCAAAACCTGACCTTTTCATGAATTAAGTTTCTGATGGGCAAAACTGACATTACCTTTAGGGACTTGGTGAGTCTTCCTACATACATAAATGTTGCGTAGTGCTAACACATGGACTAGAATTTATAGCCAGGCAAAAAATACCTTCTGTTAGCTTGTAGGGATGACTAATATTTGAAAGACTTAGTAGTTGTTGGTACCTCACAGTAACAGAGCTCAGTCTAGTAGCAAAACTTCCCATGAAAAGGGTAACTCAGTACTCATGCTGAAACCCATGAAGAACAATGTGTTTTCAGATCACAAAGACTTCAGACTGCCTGGTGACTGTATCTTGCTCTCTGTCAGTCCACAGACCACTGCATAAAGAAAACTAATTAACTTAGAATATTAAGAAATATATTTTCAGCAAGTAGTTTTTTTCCATTAACCAAGTTTTATGAGTATTATTGAGTTGGTTGATGCATTTTTAGTCATAGCCTAATGCCTCACTAGCTATTTGAAATTTCCTTTTCTTTTGATTTTGCAAGTCACCTTTTCTTCCAGCTACTCTGCATTTGTTTTAAAATATAAAAATATAAAAGTAATTTTGCCTTGAAAGACAGGAGTATGTGGAACATACAACTGAATTTTACAAACTTTGGCTAAAATTGACACCTGCCCTTCAGTGTCAATGAAATGCAACTCCAAACACACGAGAGTGTATTGTATGATTGGTAAGTGAAGCTTGGAAAGACTGGGCAATGCAATTTAGGTTGTGTGTAGGAGCATATTTTTTCCCTTTCTGTTTTCATGCTACAATAAATGTTTTTTATGCTGGCTGATTTGCTTAAATTGTGTAGGTATTAGTGAGAGAAAAATCTTTAATTATTGCTGCAATGGATTATTATTATAGTAAAAATAAAGATGTTTGCTTTGGCAGGCCATTTGGTGCCTTCTCATTCCTCTAGGTTACAAGAATATATTAGGCTGTGCCTATATATTGTTAAGTCTATGATTCTGTTGCACTTTAAGGCTCATCTGGAGATTAGGTAAAACGCAGTATCACTGAGGATTGATTATTTTATGGCAGGATCTGGTGTTTTGGCCAAATGACTTTTTTTCACTTCACTAACATTTGTTAAGTGCAGCAAAGAGTTTGAGCTGATTAAATGGCCTAACTAGGTCTTTTAAGTAGTGATAGGACCTTAGTAGTCTACAAATATGAAATCACTACAAATTTTGCAACAGCTTCTATCATGATTATCATCTAGGAAAATCTGGATTAAAGAACCGATGGTATTTTCCCTTTACTGTTTCCTACTGGAAGAACCTATGTGGTGCAGAGAAGAGGAAGAGACATTTTCTGAATTCTAATATGTTTTTCTTCAATGAAAACTTCCAAGACAAAGGTTTGTGGTCATTTTAACAACAGCTCTTTTCCAGATGCTGTGCTGATTTTTATCAACCTGCTTTTGTCATTGCTTGGTACATATATCGTATTCTGTGTTTAGATCTTGTCCCTTTCTATCCTCTATTATGTAGTGTATACTATGAATATTATATACTAAATGTTAATTGAGCTGCCACCTGTAATGCTTGACTCATTCAATGAAAACTACTGTACACAACTATTTAATAAAACTCTTTGAAGAATGTAAAATAAGTATCTCTAAAGTTCCTCCTGTTGCAGTGTATTGCCTCTTTGCCTTAGTAGGATCTTCTGAAGTTCCTTGGACCCTTTCATACTCTTACTGAATCTGACAAAGGTACTTTATTAACTCGCCCCTCCATTCCAGTTTGATTCTCTTCCTTTACTGTCTAAACTTAAAATTGGTCATTAAAGGGACAAACCCATATTCATAAACAAACCAATCCTTGAAATACTTTTAACTTATAATTTGATTATATATTTTTATGTATTTTTATATAAAGCATGTCTCTTTCTTGGTAACATTTGTTTTTTATCTAATTTAATTATACATGATTTTATTACATAAATTAGAATCATAAACTATAAACATCATATATAAATATGTAATTTATGTATTTTGATACATTCTATCAAGTATTCTCATCTCAAAAGATTTTGTATTTGCAATAAGTTAAAATATTAAATATTAATAATATATTTATGGGGCTGATGATTGACTGTGCTCATGTTTAGAGAGTAGTTCCAACCTTTCATCCTGACACAGAAAGGAAGTCAGCTTAATCTGTGTCATATGGTCATCTCAGGTTACAGGGCTTGTTACCTCACAGAGAAATGCTGGATATCTACCTGCATTGAAGACCTTGAATGATGTTTAGATTAGATTGTTGCTCTGAATCATTTTGCAAAGAGATCTGGTTTACTTTATTGACTGAGGGCATTTAAAGAGGATTACCTGGCTATGACTGTTAACGTTATGTAATGTAATGTGCCTGAAAATGGATGGAATATAAGGAGTAGTTCGTATACTTAAGGGAATAAAACAATGGTTCAAGCAATGTTATTATAAGTGTTTATTCATGGAATCATAGAATCCTAGTTAGGGTTGGAAAGGACCTTAAGATCATCTAGTTCCAACCCCCCCTGACATGGGCAGAGACACCTCCCACTAAACCATGTCACCCAAGGCTCCGTCCAACGTGGCCTCGAACACTGCCAGCGATGGAGCATTCACAACTTCCTGGAGGAGCCCATTCCAGTTCCTCACCACCGTTACAGTAAAGAACTTCTTCCTTATATCCAATCTAAACTTCCCCTGTTTAAGTTTTAACCTGTTACCCCTTGTCCTGTCACTACAGTCCCTAATGAAGAGTCCCTCCCCAGCATCCTTATAGGCCCCCTTCAGATACTGGAAGGCTGCTATGAGGTCTCCACGCAGCCTTCTCTTCTCCAGGCTGAACAGCCCCAACTTTCCCAACCTATCATCTTCATACAGGAGGTGCTCCAGTCCCCTGATCATCCTTGTGGCCCTCCTCTGAACTTGTTCCAATAGCTCCCTGTCGTTTTTATGTTGAGGACAACAGAAATGTGCGCAATACTCTAGGTGAGGTCTCACGAGAGCAGAGTAGAGGGGCAGGATCAGCTCCTGCTGGTCAGGCTCCTTTTGATGCAGCCCAGGATACGGTTGGCTTTCTGGGCTGCGAACGCAAGCTGCTGGCTCATGTTAAGTTACTCATCTACTAGAAATAAAAGATAACTATTTTATGACTCGATAGAGACATATGTGGACATGCATAGAACTTGTTGATTTAATTGCTTTTTAAAACTGCAAATAAGCCAAATTCTTAGCAAATATTAACAGGCATAGTATCTTTGATTTCAGTGGAGTTTATGTCCATTTAGACCATCAGATGCAAGTTTTGGTAAATGTTATCAGGGATTCAGCTAAATTGTTATTTCATGTATACACACAATTGTATCTTTAGATTCAGCAGCCCTCTTGATCTGCTTTTCTTTCCCATACAGACCCAGCACCTCCAATTTGCAAATGCCCTTGCATCGAAGAAGCTACTATTGGTGTCATGCTACTGTCTCTCACCAAAGAGCACATGGATGGCAAGAAGGCTGCAATTAAAGATCTCAGCCTTGCTTTCCACAGAGGTCAGATAACAGCACTCTTGGGACCTAATGGAGCTGGCAAGACAACAATTATGTAAGTAAGTCTGCTGTTCAGTGCTATTACACTCCTCTCTGATCTCTGCTATGCTTTCTCACTTCAAAATATTTGTGAATTCTTTCCTATGTCTTTTTTTTTCTTTTCCTCCCCAAATAAATATTTAATAAACTCTCCAAAGCATATGGGAAGCGAAGGCTATATGTCTACAACAAAAGCAATGTAATGAGTAAAGAACCGAGTCCTCTGTGCCACTGAAACATGATGTAATAGTTCAGGGGCAGCTTAAGTAGGAGCTGAACACATTTAGTTGTGGAGTTAAACGCATCTCAGGAAAGTGGTTTTTTGGCATTCTTTTCTGGCATTCCATGTGTACTCCTATCATACACAGAGTGTGATGGGGGTTTTGTGGTTTGTTACTAGAGGTTGCAAGGGACTTCTTTCTCGGCAGTTAACCAGAAACAAAAATAACAAAATGAAAATGACATTTAAAAATTTCTGAAGTAAGAACTCTATATATTTCTACCTTTATGTTAACTATAATCAGCTTTAATAAAACCAGCGATGCAGAATGGGACCCAATCTAGACTTAGTCCTCAGCTAGAATACACACTTGAAAAAGGAAACAATGGTCTGTTATATTTGGTTGGGAAAAAAATGAATTCTGTTATTTGGTTCTGGAATTAAGAAAATGAAGGATTGTTGAGATTTAAAAGCAAAAGAACCTCAAAACTTAAAAAAAAAATCAAAAAAAGCTCAAAGCAGTGCTTCTGCATCTGTTCTCAGCTGAATGCCTCAGGAAATCCAAGTGTGAGCTATGTAATACAGTCATTACACGTGATCTTGCTGAATTTTTTGCTTTCTTGTATCAGGTCATTGTTGGCTGGTCTGTATCCACCCAGCTCTGGTACCATTATTATTAATGGAAAGGACATACATAGTGATCTGGCTGCCATCAGGACAGAGCTGGGTGTTTGCCCACAGTATGATGTCCTGTTCAATGTACTAACTGTGCGAGAACATCTGCTGTTTTATGGATCAGTGAAGGCACCTGGCTGGACAAAAGAACAGTTGAATCAGAAAGTCAGTGGGTAAGTTTTTTTTCATTTGTTGAAAACTGTCAAGTAAATTGGTAGTGTCTCTTGCAAGCCAGTCAAAGAAGAAAGTGCTAAAGCAAAATTGCAAGTAGAAGTAAATAGAAACTGCAGGTTTTATATGAGTTTTTGAAAATAGATTTACTAGTTTCCAACCTTTACTTGAATGTGCTTGTTGTGAAACTGTCAATATTTGAACTCCTGTTATAAAGAACCATCAAATAAAGATGTTATGACTGGAGTGGAGGTGGTAAGCATGGTAGCAGCGGTAGTGGTTCCTGCCTCATACTGTCTGCCTTACCTCCCTCCATGCTGGAGAGACAGATAGAAAGTAAACTGCTGTGACTTCACCCTGAGTTTTCAGATAAGTCAACACTGACTATGTGTTTACTATCCTGTTTTCCATCACCTACAATAAAGGGAAGATTGGAAAACCAGAAGAGGCAGGCAAAGGCAGTACTTGTTATAATCTTTTTAAATAAGCCATCAACTTTTTCCTTTGTCAAATTCAGATTTTAAGTGTGTTTAAGAAATGAAGGGCTCTGAGAACAAGCAATCCAATAGGAAAAAAAAGCCAGAGCTCTGATGTCACCTCAGAGGATTTGCCACTTGTCAGGTCAAGAATGTTTCCTAGTGGGTCTATGCTGCTACCTGTTGATATAGTACTAGATCTTAATTTTTGCATCATGTATATTAAACAGCTGGTAAACCATACAAGGTGAGATCTTACTCACCAGTAACAAAGTGGTTCCTTTTCTGGACTTTAGGAAAAAAATGTATGCTTTTCTAATAGTGTGTCAGTGTAAATAGTTTTTGTTTACCTTCTAAATCATGCTAGACTGTGTGAAGGACTGGGCACTTCCATGCTTTAACAGAAAAGAATGCCAAGCTGATGGGACTTTTCTTTGAATGTACAATTAGGCCTATGCAGACACATTTGTGGCAGAGTGGCTTTCCTTTTCAGTAGCTGTCAGAAAAATCCATTACTTAAAAATTCTGATCTGAAAAATTTCTGGTGTGGGACATTGCATTCTCTCTAGCAAACCAGAACCAACTCTGTAGGACAATAAACCCAAATCAAATTTTGTTTTTGTTTTAAAATTTCTGCAAAATAATATCCTGTATTTTATTGTACTTAGACTTCTGAATTGCCATTTCAGCAGCAGTCTGTCATACTAATGAATACAAGAATATTCAGAACTCTACAGGCCTTGCTACTAAGAAAAAAATATTTTATTTTAAAGGCATTGAGTTCTTTAAAATATTTCAGACAAACTAGAAATGCAGCAAAACAATGAAAAAAATTTGCTTTTCATTAAGCAAAAAAAAAAGGACTCCAAAGAGATTAAGAATAATTTTTCTGGATATATATCTATACAGTAATTATAGGAACCTGTTTTCTTTAAAATTAACAATTCTCTCAGGTTAAATGGCATGGTTTACATACTGCATAAGCATTCAGATGATTCAGGGGATTAGCTTAGGACTGTTGAGTCTTTTCTGTCTTACTTGCCAGGCTAATAGAAACTGAAACCTTTTAGGTCAATGAGTGGATGTTCAATGTAATGAAAAATAAATCAGTGGTCTTTCAGTGCTGCCTTTGTTGACCGTGTTTCCGCATACTGCTCAGAGGCAAGTTAGTCAGAGGGCAGGGCTGAAAAGGCAATGTCTGTGAGGTATCTCTAAGTCCTTAACACAGGAATTACATTAGGTTGGATTAGGTAGTATTATGCTACATAGGGATCACTAATCTGTTTAGATCACAGAAATATGTCTTCAACAAAAAAAAAAAGAAAACAACCCCAAAACCAAAAAAGATTTGATATGTAGCTACAAAAACTGAAGCACTGTTTGAGTTATGAAATGACCATCTTTACCATGATATAAGAGGCTATACTCTAGAGTTTGCTGAAATTGTTAGACAAATTGGCATTTATTTTATTGGAATTAATTTCAAAATTGTCTGTTCTTATCCTACACAATACTTTCCTGCACAATATTTATCCAGAATTTGTATTTCAGGGGGTGATGAGCATTTATACTACATAGGTAGAGAAATATTTTTTTTCCCCTATTTTTCTTGTCACCAAAAAGTGTAATGTCAGAGGTAGTGTTGTTTTCACTTTCCATTTACAGTGACTTTTCAGTAATTCAGCTCTGAGAGCACATGGTGTGACTGGAAGTAAACTTTTCCAAAATGTTTCCCATTTCTGAACTTCAGAGCTCTGGAAGATGTGGATTTATCCCAGCACCAGTACAAACCAGTTGGAGCTCTTTCTGGGGGAATGAAAAGGAGGCTGTCAATTGCTATCTCATTCATTGGAAACTCAAAGACAGTTGTTCTAGATGAGCCCACCAGTGGAGTAGATCCATGTTCTCGACGTAGCATCTGGGATGTTATTCTGAAGTATAAAGCTGGTACAAAGCCTACACACATAATTTGCTGCTTACTTTCCTTTCTGTAATTCTGTTTCAATCAATTTAATCAGGATCTTCAGAATATTACTAGTACCATTCAGTAACTAAATACATTAATTTCAGAGGTAACATTTAATCTAATTTGAGAAACTACAACAGCCAAACGAGTTTACAAAAATTATCTGTTATCTCACAGAAGGATGTCTGGTGTGACAGAAGATTGAGCTTCGTTTTGAGACCTGTCCTCAAGTTTCTCTTCTCTTACCATTTTCTTTTTTGTTAGCTTCTCAAAATTATTTTCTGGTTTTCAGTTCCCATTTTTCACATATCTGTGTAGAGATGCGTATATACTTCTAATGAAAAAAGAATCATCAGTCAGTTTGCTACATTAATTTTTAAGTGCCATAAGGTAAAAAACTGTAGGAAGCAAACTCTTCAGCTAGTGAGCACTCAACTAGCTGTAATAACTCACAGTGAATGATCCATTGAAACAGACACTGCTGTTATGTGATTTTAAGGCACCTCTCACACTCTTAAAACAGCTTGAAGTTGTAATGCTTAATATTGCTTACATGTATAATACAAGGCAATGCACGCTTAGACTTGACTCTAATTCAGGCTGTAAATCTAAATGCAGACTTTTTTTTGTGTCTGGCATTTATGTTTTGAAGGGAGCTAAAACACGTTCCCTTAAGGTTAAAAGATCCTCGTGAAAGCACAATGTGTTTCTCTAGAAACCAGGTTTTTGTAGACATGTACCAATCTTTCTGATGCAGGTTGCACGTTGATCTTTACCACTCACCATCTTGATGAGGCAGAGGTGCTCAGTGATCACATTGCTATCCTGCAGTGTGGCCAGCTGAAGTGCTGGGGTTCTCCCTCTTATCTGAGAGAAACATATGGCCAGGGACACAGTCTAACGCTGACAAAAAAGGTATGCTAAAAAGGTACTGTAGGGAGTTTCACAGTGCCTGCCAAGTAATGGCTGTGTATATTCTAAGGGAGGTGTATGTCGCTGCAAGGAAGTAATATGTGATTATTAGAAAGCCTGCAAAACACATTTTTATTAGCTTTCTTGGTAGTTTTTCCATGGGTGGCACTATTATTATAATTATTATTATTATTACTACTACTATTATTATTATTCTTTAGAAGATCACAATTACGTCTTTGAAATTGATGAATTTCAATATTTAGCTGAAAAGTGCTTTGTCTCACTTTTTTTATTCCTGGGAAGCAATTTCATCAGTGGAAATTTTATTCTATGAATTTTATTACTGGGTCCCATACTTCTGGTAATATTTATTTTTTTTGTGTGCATTATTATCTTTCTTTCCCATAGCCTTCTGTGTTTGAAATCCAGGATCCTAAACATACTGTTCAGGTCACATCTCTTGTACAGACCCACATCCCAGAAGCCTTCTTGAAAGAGAACAGTGGGACTGAGCTGACCTATGTGATTCCAGAAACGGCAAATAAGACCTCTTTTAAAAGTCTTTTTCAGGCTTTAGATCAAAGCCTGCATCGTCTACATGTGACTGGCTATGGCATTTCTGACACCACCTTGGAAGAGGTACTTTTAGTTTTTCTATGTAATGGCATTTTCTTGGTTATATAAACCTGTATTAGCTTCCAGCTACTCTTGATTGTATCTTCCATAGTGCATAACACTTTATTGTGAAATTTGTGATATTTGAAACTGCATCAGTAGTTCTGGGTTTGCTTTGCAAGTTTAGACTTGTTCATCTTGCATATCTGTGGAAAAAGATACAAATAGAACTCAAATAATGCAAATAAACCTAAAATGACAATTGTTCATGAAATTAATTGAACCAATATGCCGCTATGTGGAGCTTCTATATCGTGAAGTGGTCCACTGGGAGACGTCTTTAGCACTATGTTGATTTACAACAGAGGTTTTTAGGACCCTTCACAAGCATAAATGATCTCTGTTTTCACACTTGTTTTTAAACTGCACTCCAAAGGGTCATCTGCTAGCAAGTATGTGGTTTCCTTTGAAGTTAAGCTCTATACAGCTGAGTCATTTAAAAAAAAAAAAAAGGCATCTCTTCGGTGTTTATCTTATAAATGACCACAGTGCACAAAGCTAGCATGGCAAGCATTTGCTATGGCAGGGTGATAAATCACAGAAGTTCGATAAACATGTTATATGGTGCTATAAATCACATTCCTGATACACAATTCTGAGGCAAGTCAAAAGCTTCTTGAAAAATTGTTATTTTCTTTCAAATTATGTAGGTGATTAACATGCTATAAGAAAGAATGCTCTTCAGTGCCTAACTTCATAGATTGTGAGTTAATGTATCTATTGAGAGCCTTTTTTTTATGTCCCTATGGGATATCATAGGACTTTGCGGAACCAGCATGTGTAAAGTAAATGTGAAGTTGTTATGGAATACAGGAAGCTTCCTCAGTGTGCTGTATCTGTTATTCAGTTGAGAGTTTTCTTTTGGCTGTTTTCTGCAGGGAAGGTTAAAAAAAAGGTTTCAAGGTGGTATTGGATATTGATATATAGTTCTTTAGCTTGAGGACTTAATACATTAATTTGGGGTGATTTCTGTCATCTCTGCATCTCATCATTAGTTATTGTTGCAATCTCAATTCTCCATTTTCTTATCAAAAGCCTCTTTGCATTGGCAACTAAATGGGTAGCACATAATAGCGCTATTTAGTCTATTCAAACAATTCAATCTGGAAACAAAGAACTCTTACTTTAAAGGAAGAAATGTGTTCCAATTTTCATTTTATCCTTTCTTTTTGTTCTCTCATACACTCACCATTATTCTTTTTCAGTCTGAGGGACACTTGCACTCTCTAGAAGTCCATTCATACTTCAAAGTGCACTTCAAAATCATGAAGTTCTAACAAAATCAGTTCCTGAAACCTTGTATCTCATTAATATCGTATTTGCTTCATTTTGGGTTTTAAATATGTTTTCCAGCCATTTGTATTTGTGTACTTTATAATGCTTGCAATCCAAAGAGTGTTAGCAGAACTAAAAGGAGGATGGAAGAGTGGTTAATTAAATTGAGTGGAACAACCCTGGAGGTTTCAAAGCTTATGTCTTTCTTGCTTTGATTTGAGGAGAGAATACAACCATTGAAACATCTTTGCAAAATAAGGTGTGTCTAAATACCTGTTAATGGCGCACTATAAATTCTCTTCCTTGAAATGATCAGAGAGTTTGCTCCAGAAATTTCCAGGGAAAGCCATATACCTCCTTGAAATAGTTTAGCCTTAAAACTATGCAGCTTCTAAGGAGATTCTGTTTTGTGAAGGATGTTCTAAACATCTCTGGTGCTCTGAAAGAAGTAGCCAAGGCAGTGGCTGCTCCTTGCAAGTAAGGCAGTCCTCAACAGCTAGTATGGCTACCTGCTCTCTCCATTCCCATGAGTGGCTGAGGTGGTACTTCAGTGTCTGGCATGGAGCAAGCTTGCAGGGGCAAGTGCTAGAATTGAGTCATGCTACTCCTTACCTATTTTAAGCATGTTCCTCAAAAACAGTTTCTTCCTGTGGCTTTGAACTGTGCCAAGTGTCTGTCTCCCTCTGAGTGTGTATCTAAGTCTGACAGTCAGAAATGCTCCTGTTTAGCAGATAACAGTTGACATGCTTGCAAAAGTTCCTCAGTTAAGTCATGCACAGTGAATGGCTCTAAAACTGCTTCTGCATTGCTCTACTTAGTCAAACATACCCATAGCTATGGAGGGCTAGGCTCAGCATGTACTTCCTGGAAGATAATATAAACCCAATGTGAATAGAAAATGTAGTAGGGCCCAGAAATGGTGCTAAAATATTAGTTAGTGCTTTTAGATGATAAAGGACTGTCTATAGATGTTGGCTAATTTTTTTGTTGCTCTTGGATTTTTTTCCCCCACCTTTACTTTCTCTTTCTTTCAGCCACCTTGGTTTTCTGCACTTTTTCACTTCAGGTCAAAATGTGTTTTAGGAATGATAATTGCAGTGAAGTGTCAAGGGTACTATGCCACTATATCAGTGGACCAGGCTTGTTTTTATGAGGCTGTCCCAAAGAAGGACATCTCAGAGGGCTACAGGAAATGTGCATTTCCTCAGGTTCTCCTCTACAGACAGCCATCTGGAAAAATCCTTGGTTAGATGTGGACCTGCAAGCCATAGCAGAAATTAAGCAGAAATTGCTAAGATGTGTAGGGAAAGGGATGCAAGAACACATTGTCTCTCTGTCATCATGTCTAGTCCTGACTTTTCCAGGTCTGTTTGTTTTGAAGGATACTTTGCTAATAACATTGTTAGGCTAATACTACTTCTGTCCACAATATCTTGTGCACCATTAGATAATTTGTCATGTTGCTGTACAGTCTAGTCCCTAATGATTCCTATGTTTAATGGGATGTTTGAGAGCTGCCTGGATACTATAGGAGGACTGGGCAGAGCAGCTGGCCTTCTGTCTTTAGAGCTCTGCCAGAATAACTGCATCAGTGAAGCTGCAGTGAGCACAGCCCATATTAGAAAAATTGATGGTGGTTTTGTTTCTTTTCTAAGGCATAGTTACATTCTTTCTTGTGATTAAAGAAGGAAAAGTCTGTCTGCGGCTTCAGCAGGAGTTTTGGATCTGAACTGTGTATGTGCAGGCAACGCTTTTGTAATGTATCCTTCATCTTAGCCAGAGATGGTTAATTCCTTTGTGGTTTTAGTCGGTTCACTTCAGTTTGCTTGATGGAATTGGTGTGCAGAGGAACCATTTGCAAACAGGCCCGAGGCAACAAATTAGAATGTGGCTTTGGGCAGTTAGGATTTCCCTCCAGAGTCCTATAATAAAATGTCTGGAGGTATTAATTTCTTCTGCCCTTGCAGTTGTTAATGACCAGAAGTGCTCTCTGAAAGTTGGCAGGTAACAAGTGCAATCAATAATCACTGTTAAATAGCAATTACATTGACTACAGAAAATATGGTTATTGTAACAGTCAGACCTTAGCAAGTCAAGAAATATCTTTCCGTAACTATACAGTACTTCACATTGTTTTTATTTTCTATTGTATAAGATCCTTGGAAACAGGGAATTTTTTGTTATAACTGCTATCAGGTTCTCAGGTTCTTTTGTGGGAAGAAATAAACAGTTTCTTAATGATTTCTGAAATTTGCACTGTGGTTATAATCTAAGTCTTGCAGCTCAACACAGACATGAAAAAGAAGAAGAAGGATTTCATCAAAAGAAAGCAAAAATTTATTTGTACTTTTGCTGTTTGATTAGAGATGCTCATGGTAATTCTGTTAATTTTTCTTTTTATCTGAAATATCTAGATCACTGTGTAAATTGCAGGTCAGGTTAAGGTAAAAATATGTTAATTTTATTTTTCATCTGAGCTTACAGGAAGAGGGTAAGTGTTAGTAACTGACTCCCTATGAAAGCTGTTCCAAAATTCTGCAAGGCTGAGGGACTGATGAATTAAATACAACTCTATGAAATTCAAAGGATGTTATGTGGACAGAACTCTGTAACAGGATTAAGCAAGAAGCAATAGGTCAAACACAAATCTATTTGGCAAAGTGTATACACCTTTAAACAGGTCTCATGATTATAAAGTTGGTGGATTCTTCTGTTTTTTTTTGTGATGTTACCTTTAAAACCCTTCTGATGTGTGTCGCCCTGCCTAGGAAGATTCAACCCTTACAATTTAACTTTAGTGCAGTTTCCTAGATTGTTACTTTTATAAAAAATTACTTCAGTTTTTCCCACAGTAATTTTAGGTATCAGGTTTCTATTATGTTCTTCCAATTCAGGGTAAGAATGCTGATGGTTTTGCTACAGAACACACGTTATTGCCCAGTCTTCTCCATAGTATTAATTAGACAGGTCTTTGTTAATGTTGACTACGCCTGATGATTGCATTGTTCTTTAAATATCTTTCAATATCAATAATGTTATTGCCCATATGCTTGCATAAATGTATGGACCCTTCTCAGATTTTTGGTTCTGTAGAATTCTGTACGTTAGATTTAGTACTGGTACATGTAAAACTATTTGATAGCAGTTCCAGTTGTGCCCACAGATTTCCATCTAACGTATCAGAAAAGACTTGAAGCTGTCTACATGCCTTTAGTAAAAAACTGTAGTAACTGATTTCCGAAATATACCACAGTTTAGGAGCATAAAATATCAACCAAGGGCAACCAGTCTACTGAAAAATCTTTGCAGATAGTAGTGTGCATGGGCCAACAATACATTGTATGGGTGCTTTTGCATCTATTGGCATTTCTTCTTTTTCCCTTATCCCCAGGATTCTTCCTCTCGAGAGCTTGATTAATTTTATAGTCATATTCCAGGAGGGTGGCTACAGCAGCCACTGCTAACATCTGGCAATGTGGATGTTTGGGATATGTAAAGTAGTTTCTTAGAAAATGGATTCTAATTTCTTTTTTTCCTATTTCATGAAAGGTTTTTCTGAAGCTACTGCAGGACTCAGAGAAGATGCCCTGCGTTCCACGGACAGCACACCTGGACCATAGAAATGGTGCTGAATCATCTTGTAAGTATAAAATTAGGTACCTTCTGAAGCAGCCAGATTTATAAAGATCACAAATACAAAGGTAAACATGCACAAAGTTCCCAAAGTTGAGGAATGCACAAGCAGATTGAGAATACTGCCTGGCATCATCTAGTAATACTTTTTTTCTCTTTGTCTGTGTAAAGTGATCTGCCGTGGAGAGTAAGTTTTTATTTGCACTGCAATTCACCTCTGTATCATGTTAGAGTTGTCTTCCCACCCTTCTGCCATGTATAAATGTGAACACAAGCATTCTCTTCAGGTATCAGCATTAACGTACTGCTTCCTACTAGACCCTGAAAAAAATTACCCCCTTTAACTCATATTGACAATGGATAAATATTGCTGAGGTATACCACTGATGTAAAATCTGGAAGTTATTAGAAAAGTCTATTCATCTCCATATATGTGCAAATAAAAAAATAAATAAAAGCTGTTGCCCCCCAGAGTAAAGATCATTTATCCTCTCAAGGGGCATGTTATTTCAGGTTCCCTTCCATGCTTGCTTGTTTTAAAACAAGTTCCTTCATGCTTTCTGTTTCCCTGCCCTGCAAACCTTTACATTTCTGAAACCTTAGGAAGCTTCTTATATAAATCACAAATGTGATACCTTGCAAAATGCAACTCAAGTTCTCTAAAAACAATGCCCACCAAGCTGATCAATATTTTCTTATTGGTTCTGTGATTCTTATGCTTCTCTACTTACCATGTTCCTTGTTATAGTAATGGAAATAATAATTTTGAACAAAGCTTGTGTTAGTTGTTAAGATAAATTCAGTTGGATCTGCTGGTAATGAGTAATCAATGCCAAGAATTGTGGCCTGAGAACTTTTCTCGCAAAGTACAAAGACTTGATGACTTTTTCCAGAGGGTCTTTTTGCTACACTACTTCAGTCCCTGTTGAATCAATGAAGATGTAACTATACAGCAAAAAAACCCCGAGTGGTGAGAAGATGACTTCCATTAAAATACAGTTTTGAATATCCCTTAATTTTATAACCACCCGTTATGTATTTCTTCAAGGCTCAGCTAGGATATCCAAACCAATTTCAAATCAAAACAGTCTGTCTTCTTCACATTGCATTTTCCTTAAAGAGTAAGATTTACAGTTCCTAAAGTAGTGAAAACAGAATATGCTGTACCTAACAACTTCTTATCTTTCACCATCTGCAAAACTTATAACCTAGTATTTGTTCAAGTTATTACATTAATAAAGAATCTAGTAATCAGAGACTCTGCAGTATTTCAGTCTGATAAATTATAGCAAGGATATGTAATGATAATGCCATTTCTTTGGGGATGAGTGTATTGAGTGTAGTGGAAAATTGTCATTCATGCCTATGACTGTCATTCATCATTAAGGACAGTTGTAAAGTGTAGGCATAAGGGATCAGGGAAATGGTCATGAAAGGTATCCATCATTGTCAAAGCTAAACAGAATACTCCATGGGCAATACCTTGACCTGTATAACTTTGTCTTTGAAAGCAGATTCAAAGGCAGTCAAACTTTCTGTTGTCAAAGTAGCCAAATGAATTTTCGAAATCCCCTGGAGCAAACAGCTGGGTTATTGAGAAGATGACAGGATGTTGCTATTTGATTTGTAAAGGAATTTGGAAGAGAGAGCTGCTTTGACAAAGCATGGATCTGAGCACAAGCAGAGGTATTGTCTATCCTTTACTGGTGCCCAGCCCTTGAGGCATCAGGATTGTGCAGAAGCCAAAATGTTGTCTCTTGTCTCCCAGAGAAGAGAAGTGTACATGTGCCTTCTTAAATAAATCTACAAAAAGCAGTACATGATTTAGGCTGATGACCAGTGACAAAACCAGGCAAAAGCCATTGCTTCAGCAAATTATGACAGCATTTCACTGAAGTTGGAGTTTTGATAATTTCTGTTTATGTTTTATAGTGTCTTATTGTACTGGCTCTCGCTGGAATGGCGTTAATTTTCTGCCGAACAGCTCTTATGGTGCTGTGCTTCAGATTTGTGACTAAAACAGTCTTAGTAATAGACCAGTGTTTTGGTTATTGCTGAGCAGTGCTTGCAGTGTCAAGGTTCTTTTTCCCATTCTGACTCTCCTCCCTGTGGTGAATAAGGCTAAGTTTGAGCAAGAAGCTGGGAGGTGACATGACCTGGACAGCTGAGCCATTGCTACCAGACTCATGTGATTACCTTTGCATTCCCTGTGGTTTTGTTCTTGTTTGGTTGTTTTTGTTTTCTTTCATTTGTTTGATTTTTCTTTCCCTTCATTTCTTCTTCACAAGTTTTCTTGCTTGCTGTATTCCTAGTCTCTCCCCCATCCTGCTGGCAGAGAGAGAGTGAGCTCGCAGCTGTGTGGGGCTTAGCTGCTGGCCAGGGTCAACACATGACAGTCATGTAAGATAAACTCAGAATCATTTGACCCATTCTGAATGCAAATATTAGAGGTAAATAGTAGTCTATTCATTAAATTATGTAACAATTTCAATATTGATAATTTTAAGATGCAAAGCACACTTTGTAATTTCTAGTGGTTTAAGTTTCCTCTGTGGAAGGTTAACTCATAATATTTAGCTTTATTGCAATTAAAAAAACCTTAGAATAAAACTCACCTTTTGGTGATAATAGTTAACAATTTTAAGTCAGGAAATGTCTAAGAGTGCAGGCATAATACATGAATATATTATAATAAAGGCATGCATAATTAATTTCTACACAACTGGGGCACACAGTTGATGGTTATTGTTTTGTAGATATATACAGAGCATGCAGGAAAAAGGTTGGACTGAGATTGCAATGACTGCATGACAAGATCATTGGAGCCAAATAGCCTTGAGAAAATGGAGAAGCCAACCCTATGGAGTCCAATAAAAGTATCATAAATTACAGCAAGCAGTCTGTGTACACAAATAATCAGGAGAGCTAAGAGAAAGTCTAAGGGGTGACTAGTTAACCATGGGTAAATACCAAAATATTCTGAGCATATGCAAAAGCAGGCAATAAGATAGAAGAATGGGCTCATTGGATCATTAATGAACCAGTGCTGCAAAATTAAAATATTCAGATATCTTGCTAAAGAGACAAATTTTTGTAGCATTCTACATCTCAGAGACGTTTGGAAGTTACCAGCTTTGATTATAATCTCTTTTGGCAAAAAAATGCAGTTGGAACCCGAGATATAGCGAAAACTGAACTGTACAAAATTCGAAATGGATAAAATTATATTTTTCACACAGTCAAAAATTACATTACTTAGTGTCCATCAACTTCTTCAATAAATTGGCCACTGAGAATGTTTGAGTGGAAGCAGGTTGATTCATAACTAATTTTTATGGTTGCTTACACCTTTCTCTGAAGCAGCTGTAGCTGTTGTCAGCCATTTTAAAGGATTTGGGGCAAAATATTAAATTGCTTCTATTAGGATTGAAGAGATCAACAACATAGAGCACTTAATGTGCTTCTGAAAGCTAATTTAATTCAGCAACTGTAGCTGAAAAAAGCAGTTATCTATAGTAAAGCATCACACTGAAGAGCTTTCAGTGAATTTTAACTACGTTTCAACTCTGCCTTTGGATTATCATCAGTGATACTGAAGTATATAATCTTGCTTATGAAAAAAAAAAGGAGGACTGCTGCAAGGTATTGGTAGAATAGTAATGAATCATTCCTAAAGAGTGACTTAGATCACTTGAAAAGCTGAATCTATTCTAAATAAAGTGTGGTTTAATTAAGCTAAATGCTGGGCAATGTATGTAATGAGGAGCAATATCCTAGAAAACATTGACTTTGAAAGTTACCTACCAATCCTAGTGAAAAAGCGCTTTTAAACAGTATAGCTGAGATGATTTATGTTTCAATTTAATGTACAAAAGGATGTGAAGAGGTCAGTTTGACTATCAGAACAAAATTGATGAGACTGATGCTACAATAGCATGTACAACTTTTATGTCCATGTTTTTAAGTTTGAATGCCTTTAAGGAAAGTTGAGAATTTGGAAATTGAACAGAGAAGATTTAACACTGGAGGCTGGAGATGAAGTCCTTATAACTGCTTATAAAGGCACTGTCAGGGGTCAGTTAATGTAGTTTATGGAATAAAAGATGGAGAAGTGGTTTGCTTAAAAAAGTACAATTCTTTTTTTTTAATCCATGGAGAAAACTGTCTATTAAGGTATAGTTCTAAGTTTTACAGGGACAGAAGTGATAAATGGAATATAGGAAACATTAAGAGAAACAAACATCTGGAAGCTAAAGGCAGGCACTTCTCCTATAGGTTAGTTAACAGTTGCAGTTTGTCTACCCTGCAGTTAGTATTTTCCCTCTCCTGATGCATTTGACACATGCCTGGGGCCTTTGCAGAAAATGCGTGACAGTAAAAGGTGTTACTGATTTCTGCACATGGGTGGAATTTGATGTCTATTGATCAGTGATCAAGTGGTTTCTTCTGTTCTTAGAGAGGAGCTTTTAGTACATTATGACAAATTGAGTTTGTTATAATTACAAAATGAAGGTTGCCAGTATTTTTTATAATATGTTTGAAGTTATAACATCAGTTTTTAAGTGGAACACTCTTCTTTTATTTCCCTGTAACATTCTCCTAAAAGGCCATAAGAATTATTTTGGTGCTCCACCTTGCAAAATGTAACTTGATTTTTGAGTAGAAAACTGGACAGTAAGTAGCAGTTGCTACTTACTAGCCAGTTTAGAAGTGGCTGATGGAATGAAGACTGATACTAAAATTTTCAGATTTTTGCCAACTACTGATAAGGAGAAGATACAGCATCTCAGTTTTCCATTATCTTACATACATTATGTTTTCCTTCAGCTTTTTCATTGTTTTAATACTCCTCAACCTTGCTTCTTTTTTCCTTTTGTCACTCTTTCAGGATTCTCTAAAGCATAGAATGAGGATGAAGTACCTTTATAATATTACCTATAAGTAATCAGAAAAAGATATCTGATCTCAAAAATGATATCACCTTGTTTAAGGTTTGCCTTAAATTCG